AAGCACAACAAAGGGGATACTAGAAAACCAAAGCATTAACAGGCCAAGCGAAGTGACACCATTGGAAGGCAACATCAAAGCTGGCACAGTTTCCTTGCATTCCCATAAACTACATGGAGTGTGTAAAAGTTTGCATTGAGGAAGGGGTTAATTATTCTCCTCTGCCATAGGTAATGGGCATCTCGGTGGGCAGACACAGCTGGGTTTTCCAAACAATGATGGCCAGGAGATGATGATTTAGTACAGGAGGAGCAAAGAGGAAACACTTCCCACATACTGAGGATCCTCCGGTTCCTCGGTTTCCAGAGTTGATGAACTTTAGTCCCCTCTGAGCAGGACATTCAATTACAGCAATTCCTTTAAAGATGTGGGTGTCTTTTTCCTTTCAAAGAGATTGGATCCAGAAGTTCCATATCAGGAAACAAACTGGCACGAGACGTTTTCTGAGCAGACAATGGGGGTTCCTCTTTGGTACGGATCTGAGGATCGCAAGAGTTCAGAGACTCTGACCTGAAAAATTAAATGATCCGTCTACTCCAGCTATCCCTAGGAATTATATACTTCAATTACTGTTGCATCTGATAAATTACATTGTAACTAGCCCAGAGCTGCATGCCTAGATGCACACATTATGGTGATAGCACAGGACAATTTGCTCTGGAAACAGGATTCTGCTACTGGTAGAATCATAGAAGTGTAGGACTGGAAGCAACCTCAATATGTATGCTAAATCAGAATCTTGATTAGGTGCCAGTAGGTCTTCCTTCCTGTAGGTTAGACCAGGTCTCAGCTAAAATAGTTTTGCTGGTATCGCTCTACTGGTAAACCCTCCTAGTCTAGATGTAGCTTCTACTGGCTAAAAACTGCTTTTCCTAGTATTGCTCAGACTGGGTTCCCTAGGCAAACTAAATAGACTAGGAAACACACTCTTATGCCAGAATAACTGTGTCCATATGAGGGCTTTTGCCAGTATAGAAATGTCACTAAAAAGAAATCACACACCCTCCAAACAGATGTTACCATACTGATAAAGGTTTCTAGCCTAAGACGCTAGAGGAAAGGATGAAATACATCCAATAGCCAGTCAGACATTTGCACATCCCTATTGCTTTGATCGCTTCTTGTGTATTTACTCTTGTGAAATATAAACTGTCTTTCTCTCTGGTTACTTACATCACACCCATCCCTACTGGAGTATTAGAGCACCTCACAGCCTAACTGAATGTATCCGCATAACACCGGAGGGAGGAAAATGCTAGCCCACCATTACAGGTGGGGACCTGGGGCCAGAGGGCTTAAGTGACTTGCCTATGGTCACACAGGAAGTCTGTGGCAGAGCAGGAACTTGAGCCTGGATCTCCTAAATCCCGGTCAAGTGCTATAGAGCATCATTCTCTATCAACAGCCTTCTGTTGTCTGCCCCCCACATACACAGTGTTCATATAAATAACAGCATTGCCTATTAAGGTTGCCAACTTTCTGACTGTAGAAAACGGAGCACCCTTGCCCCAACCCCTGCCCCAAGCCCTCACCCCTGCCCCGCCCCTTCTCTGAGGTCCCGCCCCTACTCACTCCATCTGCCCTCCCTCCGTCGCTAGCTCTCCCCCACCCTCACTCACTTTCACAAGGCTGGGGCAGGGGGTTGGGGTGCGGGGGGGTGAGGGCTCTGTCTGGGGATGCGGGCTCTGGAGTGGGGCCAGAGATGAGGGGTTTGGGGTGCAGGGTGGGACTCCATATTGGAGGGGTGGGGCTGAGCGGTTTGGAGTGTGGGAGGGGGCTCTGAGCTGGGGCGGGGATTGGGATGTGGCAGGGGGTACGGGCTCTGGGCTGAGGTGTGAGCTCTGGAGTGGGGCCAGGGATAAGTGGTTTGGGGTGCAGGAGGCGGCTCCAGGCTGGGGCAGGGGGTTGGGGTGTGGGAGGGGGTGAGGGCTCTGGCTTGGGGTGCGGGATCTGGGATGGGGCCAGGGATGAGGGGCTTGAGGTGCAGGAGGGGGCTCCAGCTGGGGCCACAGGGGTAGGAATGTGGGAGGGGGCTTAGAGCTGAGGCAGGGCTCGGGGTGTGGGAGGGGGTGCAGGCTTTGACTGAGGATGTGGTCTCTGGGGTGGGGCCAGGGATAAGTGGTTTGGGGTGCAAGAAGGAGCTCAGGGCTGGGGCAAGGGGTAGGGGTGTGGGAGGGTGTGAGGCATGTGGGCTGCAGGCTTGCGCTTACCTGAGGCGACTCCCGGAAGCAGCCAGCATGTCCCTCTGCCTTCTAGATGGAGGGGCTAGGGGAATCTGCGTGCTGCCCATGCCTGCAGGTGCCACCCCCACAGCTCCCATTAGCCACAGTTCCTGGCCAATGGGAGCTGCAGAGCCGGTGGTCAGGGCAGGGGTAGCATGCGGAGCCCCCCCGTGGCTGCCCCATGCCTAGGAGCTGTACATGCCAGCTGCTTCTGGGAGCCACACGGAGCCAGGGCAGGCAGGGAACCTGCCTTAGCCCTGCTGTGCCACCGACTGGACTTTTAGTGGCCTGGTCAGCAGTGCTGACCAGAGCCGCCAGGGTCCCTTTTCAACCGGGCATTCCAGTTCAAAAGTGGACACCTGGCAACCCTTTTGCCTACTTAGAAAGCAACCAGCCTGCTCTGTAAAGCCAAGACACTGGAATTTCTCTGTAATAGCCTGGGAACTTGCTTAGTCCCTCTGCAGAGGGTTTCTCTATAGTAACAGTTGCTTGTTATTATGTGCTTTCTATGGCAATTATCAGAGTGTCTGGGTGCCTTTACCCTGAATTAGATACCTCCAAAAACACAACAGCATGCAGTTCGCTCTCCTTCACAGGCAGCCACTCCCTTAAGTGGACCAGATGCAGAGGGTGGGTGATAACGCACTAAATTTAGGGTGACCAGATGTCCCGATTTTATAGGGCCAGTCCCAATTTTGGGGTCTCTTTCTTATATAGGCTCCTATTGCCTCCAACCCTCTGTCCCAATTTTTCAGACTTGCTGTCTGGTCACCCTAACTAAATTGCACTATCCCCAAAGCCTTGCTTTGTGTGCAAGCTGGAGGAAAGAGGAGGGGGATCAAACTGAAGCAATAACCGTGGGTTTGCCCTAATGACCCTTCCTCACCAGCCACTTAACTCTAGAAAGCTTCAGCCACACAATCGCATGATGATCTTTGCTGAGAGATTTCCTACCATTGAAATAGGTACAGCACCATCTGGTGGTTGTATAGCTCACGTTCATGCGCCCTTAATTAGCATCATCTTCCATTAAGCTCCTTGGAGCGGGTGGAGGGGTAGAAGCTGCATTTTCCCCTGGCCTGACGTCAGGGTGAGCCACTGGGCTGGCTCACCACCTCTCTCTGGCTGATGAAAACTCTGCCTGGCTGGACTTGGGGAAGGAAGGGCAGGAAAATGTGAACTGCTGGATGCACGGGGAAAACAGGGTATTTAGCCTGCCTGGAGTGGGGAAGGTTCTTTACTTAACTGTGCATGGTGAGAGTGGAGAGGCTAGTGGGAGGCCCTTCAGGGGCAGATCCAGGCTGCCCAGCGTGGGAGGGGCACAGGAGCAGACCCACCATACCCATTGAAGCCTTTGCACCAGCACAAGCCATTGCACCTGACTCTGGGCCTGTGTTTCCATAATATATACCCTGCGTCTGTCGCAATCCACAAGCTCCTCACCAGCCTGTAACTCCCTCAGCTCATTTCCACTGTGGCCCTTTGCCTGGCCAGACTCCATAGATACACGCTTCTAGTGATTCCTAGGGATGGGGAATGACTCAGTCCAAGATACTCTAACTGTGTTTGTGGGGAGGCTGGAGGAAGTTTTGCACTGTCCTGGTGAAGCAGCTGGGATGGTGCAGAGCATCTGGCTGAGGCTATAACACCAGTGGATCTAAGGCTATGTCTAGGGCAGATGCCCTACCCGGCTCTCTACATGCCCAAGGCCTAAAATAGCAGTGTAGTGTCTCACTGCCTCCCTGCTGCCCTACACACCGCAGTGTGGATGCAGCCTGTGCCTTTCACTGCTGTGCGTAGCTTTACATACCCGGCCTACTCGTCGCCGCAAGTGTAGCCGAGGCCTAGCTGATGTGTGCTTTTCATGACCCTCTCCCTTCCCCCCTACCGCCCACGGCCACCACCCAACTTCCTCCTGCTGACTCTGGAATGGTAGTTTTCTCCCCAGCTCTGGGCTAATAGACAGGCTGGGCACTGAGCCAGGAGTGAGTGTGAGGGAAGTGAAAGAGAAGAGAAGAGAAATAGCAGGGAGCTGAAAGGGAATTGGAAGAGAGAAGGCAGGTCCAGAGGTTAGGGCAGTAGCCTGAAACTCAGGAGACCCAGCTTCAATTTCCAGCTCTGCTACAGACTTCCTGAGTGACATTGGTCAAGTCAGTTAGGGTATGTCTCCACTGCAACTGGAAGTACAATGGCTACCAAAGTAGGCCTACTCATGTTAGCTTTCATAGAATCATAGACTGTCAGGGTTGGAAGGGACCTCAGGAGGTCATCTAGTCCAACCCCCTGCTTAAAGCAGGACCAATCCCCAATTTTTGCCCCCAATCCCTAAATGGCCCCCTCAAGGATTGAACTCACAACCCTGGGTTTAGCAGGCCAATGCTCAAATCATCTAGCTAACATGGCTAAAAATAGCAGTGAAGATTCAATAGCACAGGCTAAAACCATGAGTATTATAATACACTAGACTAGCTAGATTAAAGCTAGTGTGGCTATACCCACGCAAACTGTAGTCCAATCTCGGATTGCAGTGTAGACACACCCTCAGTCTCTCTTCACATCAGTTCCCCATCTGTAAAACAGATGATAGCACTGCCCTGCCTCACAGAGAGGCTATGAGGATAAATACATGAAAGGTTGTGGGGTGCTCAGATACTACTATGGTGACCCAAGTACCCAAGAGATGGTTTCCTGCAAGTTCTCGAACAACTAGCAGCTGGATTTAGTGAATGGCACTTTCTGCCTTTGCTCCTCTTGCTCACTGTCTCTGTTCTCTTTCAGGTACTGCCTCTGTTGCAGTAGCTGGCATCTTCGCAGCCTTAAGAATCACAAAGAACAAGCTCTCCGACCATAAGTTTGTTTTCCAAGGAGCCGGAGAGGTAGGCTTCACCCGGGTTCGGCGCTAAATACAGTATTTGTCCTTTCATTTTGAGGAGGTAAACATGGAAGCATAAAGCCCAGATCCATAAACCCCAGAGTGAGGTGCCTAAGTCTCAGTTTTGGGTTCCACTGTGATCCACAAAAGTCCCGCTCAGTTGACACCGAACCTTGTAGGCGCCTAAGTTTCTGCCTCCGCATGTGCACACTGCCACCCCACCCCAGGTCCCTGGATGCCTATCTCCAAGCTAAGCCCCAGAGCGAGCCACAAAGCAGGAGAAGACAGGCAGAAGAATGCCTGTCTCACCCATGGGCCCAATCTGGTAAGCGTGCTCAGAGGCACCTATTGGATCAGGTCCCATTCAAAATCGAGAGGGTGCCACCCACCTTATAAATTTCTATCCCAGTGGTTAGAGCTCTCACCTGGGGCGTGAGAGACCTAAAATTCAATCCTCCCCTGAGGTGGGGAAGGATCTGAACAGGAGCCTCAAACCTCTCAGGGGAGTGCGCTAACCACTAAGCTCTGAGATACTCTGACGTGTGGCTCCCTCAGTCTGTCCTGTGGAAGCTGTGGATATATAGAGTCACTGGACCAGAGAAAGGGTGAGAGCAATTCTGTAGTCCGGTGGTTAGGGCACCCACGTGGGAGATCCTGGGTCAGTCCCCCTGCTTCAATCACTGTTTAATTATGTATAAAAAATAGAACAGTTTCAACAGGAGAGAGTGAGGGTGCCCACCTCAGAATATCCCAGCAAGTGGGCACCACCTCCTCTCCTCCCCCACGGGGCTGTGTGGTGTGAAGCAGTCACCTAACTCATTCTCACAAGAAACACATCAGGTGCCTGACTCCGGGAGAGGGGTGGCTATCTCCATGAGAGGGCAGGACTTAGGACACAACCCTCTTGTTGGCATCTCCCATTGGCTAGTTTATGCAGCTCCTTGCCTAGCATGCTGGCTTTTGTGGATCACATTCTAAGGCACCTGTCTCTCCGCATGCATTATATAGGGAGACTGAGTGCCTCATTTGGCTTTGCAGATCAGTGTTGTTCCAGTGATTTTTTTTCATGCAGTGTTCTGCCGAAGTCTCTTTGTGGATTCGGGCCTAAGGCTTCAGCCAGGCTGGAATTCAGTAAGGAGAAGCAAAGGAGCAACCTACTCCTAGTGTATTTTTCTGACCAGGAATGGTCTTCATTGCTTGTTAGCCCTTTGCAGCCAGCACATCTGAGAGGGAGCTGGAGCCTGTTCCTCCTTGTGTATCACTAAGAGAATGGTTTACTTAACTTACAGTCAACTCTGTGCAAACCCACTGAATGCGATGAGGCTGCACAGGTGTCAATGGGGTTTTAATTTGGCCTGAAGAACCTTTATTACCGATGATGCATGAACTGAAAGAAGCCCAGCTTGAAGCCCAGGGCCTGTCTGCTGAGCTGGCAGTTAGGGAAAACAAAAATCTTCTTCCTTGTAAACTGAGCACATCACTGAGGAACAACAAACACAGTATTCCCCCATGCCACTTGCACAATCATTTGTCAGAGTTGAGCCACACTTTCCCTTTGAGGCAGAAACCATACCTTCCTCTGTGTGTGTACAGTACCTAGCACAACAGGGAGCGGAGAAGAGAGGGAGGGTAGCTAGTGGTTAAGGCTCTAGAGTGAGGCTTGTGAGATCTGCATTCAATTCCTGTCACCAACCGCCTGTGTGATTTTGGGCAAATCACTTAACCCTTCAGTTGCCCCTCTGTAAAATGGAGATTACAATCTAATAGTCACAACAGATGGGTATGTTCAGCATCTTTCCACCCAGATCTCAGGTGGGGCCTCTCGGTGAAACCATAATGCCAAGAATTATATACAGCAAGTCAGGGTTGTTTTGTTTTTGTATCATGAGACGGGGGAAGAAAGAGGGGACCGTTCCCCTCTCAACATTTCAAATGCACCGTTTACCACTGTTGCCTAGAGTTCCTCTCTGCTGGCTTCATCCTGGAGCCGCACTAGTTTGGCTTCCACCCGCTTTCTCTCCACTGACACTGCTAGTCTGAAGGTCTCTGACAACCTTTTCCTGGTCAGATCCTAGGGCGATGCTTCACCTTTAACCTCCTTAACCAGTCTGCTGCTTTAGAAGCCATCAATCACTCCCTCCTTCTTGACATGGTTCAGATGATGATCATTTGTATTACTGTAGTGCGTAGGAGCCTCAGTCCTATCCCAGGGCCCCGGTGTGGTAGGTGCTGTACAGAACAAAAAGAGGGTCCCTGCCTCACAGAGCTTACAATCTGTGTGCTTTTTGGGAGGAGTGGGGGGAGAGGGGGCTGTCATTTTTTAAACCTCTCCAAAGTGAGGCAGGTTTGTTTGAGGAAATGATCGGAATTTGCTTTCTGCTTATGGGTTTCAGGCTGCCATGGGCATAGCCCAGCTCATCATTATGGCCATGGAAAAGGAAGGAATTTTGAGGGAAGACGCCATCAAAAAAGTCTGGATGGTGGACTCCAAGGGACTAATTGTCAAGGTAAATCTGCCTCTGTTGCACTACTGTGTTGTGGTGCATGGTAGATGCAGTGTAACAGGCACAGGGTACAATGGGGCCTGACTCATTAACCCAGAGCAAGCAGATCCAGTGGGTCACAGTCAGCCCTGGAGTAAGTGGCTGCAATTCTGTTGAAGTCAGTGGAGCTGCACTTGCTTATACACAGCAGGGTAGACTTTGCTTTCCTGTTTTTGATGCCCTTTCCAGTAGAGTTTGGACATTCTGGGGATAGCTACAGCTGCAGGGTCAGGGACCACTCTGCTCTTCAGGTCCAATGGGACTTTGTAAATCTTTGTAAATCTCCTCTCTCCAGGAGACAGAGCTTTCTTGAGATTTGGTCCAAGACACTGGAATGAACTCCCACCCAAACTAAGGACCATCAGAAACCTCACCGCCTTCCAAGCGAAGTGCAAGGTGCATTTCTTTAACCTGACCTTTTCAAACAGAGACAGAGAAACGAGCACATCAAAAAAGAAACTTACCAACACAAACTACTCCACTGCACACAATCCTCCCCCCACAAGAGGATGGGAGAACAAACCATAAGTGACGGATGTTAGTCACGTAATGAACGAGAGGCAGGTGTGCAGATACTACAGGGACGATACGGTATAGCAGAATATAGAAGGGTGAAGCACTGAAATCTTGCAAACAAGATTTTGCAAATGATCGATCCAGACTTTTCTCGCCTGCCATAGGCTGGTTTGTTCTTTTTTCCCTGCAGGGGAGGAGTCACCTGAACCATGAGAAGGAAATGTTTGCCCAAGACCACCCCCAGATGAGAACTCTGGAGGAGGTAGTGCAAAGGGTGAAGCCAACAGCTATTATAGGTAGAGTCACGGAAGCGGGAGCTCCTTCTCATTTGTTCACTTCTTGGGGGTTTCTTTTTTCCAGGGGCTCCTCTGTTGTCCAGGCCGACTCCCCAGGCCTCCCTGCCTGCATTTCTTTCCTTTACTTCCCAACAGCCCCCGTCTCTTGAGGCTATGAAGCACAAGCTCCCTCCTTCTGTTGAATAGGGATCCCTCCGGAGCCAATCGGTGCTGCCCTCAATTGGCCACAGGGGGCACTCTTGAGTTAAGCAGAGTTCTGCGGCTCCCAGAGCCTGAGCATGTATATCCCTGGGGCCCTACCAAATTCATGATCCATTTTGATCAATTTCATGGTCACAGGATTTTAAAAATGATAAATTTCATGATTTCAGCTGTTTAAATCTGACATTTTTTGGTGGTGTAATTGTGGGAGTTCTGACCCAAAAAGGAGTTGTGGCGGGGTCGCACGGTTATCGTAGGGGGGGTTGCAGAACTGCTACCCTTCTCCGCTGCTGCTGGTGGTGGCGCTGCTTTCAGAGCGGGGGGAGCTGGAGAGCGGCGGCTGCTGGCCGGGAGCCCAGGTCTGGAGGCAGAGCCGCCGCCAGCAGCAGCGCAGAAGGACGGATGGCCTGGCATGGGATTGCCTCCCTTACTTCTGCGCCGCTGCCTGCAATGCTGGGCCCCTCAGTCCGCAGCCGCCACTCTCCGGCCACCCCGCTCTGAGGGCAGCAGCACAGAAGTAAGGAGGGCAATACCACAACCCCCATGCAACTCCCTTTTGGGTCAGAACCCCCAAATTTGAGCAACGCTGGTCTCCCCCATGAAATCTGTATAGTAGAGGGTAAAAGCACACAAAAGACCCGATTTCACAGTGGGAGACCAGATTTCATGGTCCGTGATGCATTTTTCATGACTGTGAATTTGGTAGGGCCCTCTTTATCCCCAACTGACCAGCAGAGCAAGAGGCTGGTTGCAGTTACCAGTGCCAGATCTCCTGAAGGATAGTGCTGAGCATCACCACAAAGCCAACCCAGAGAAACACTTGGTTTGGGCTGTTTGCTGATCCTGAAGGTGGTTTTGTCACTGTAAATCTGACTTTCATGGGGTCTCTGGAAAGGGGTGGCCTTCTCCCTCGGAGTCACACAGTTTAATTTACTGAGCACTAACAAGAGCTGAGGTTTAAGGAAACATGGGCCCGATCCTTTGGAAGTCACAGAGTGAATCAGGAATTAACTGTTCACTTCTTAGGTGTAGCCGCCATCGCAGGTGCGTTCACGGAGAAGATTTTGAAGGACATGGCGGCTTTCAATGACAGGCCCATCGTATTTGCCCTAAGTAACCCCACGAGTAAAGCAGAGTGCACAGCTGAGCAGTGCTATCACCTAACAGAGGTAAATGTGCGACTGTCTCTCCCAACACAGCAGCTGAGTGGAACAGCCAAAGAGACTTAACACACAGAGCAACCTCTCTGTGTGCTACAGTGATCAGAGGGCTCTTTGGTGGGTCATAGATAAATGCAACCTCCTGGCAGAGCCCCACTGACATATGTCTCATGTCTAGTAAAATGGCAGTCTGCAGGGCTCTTGCAGTTGATCAGCCCCATGGGGGCAACTTCCCCCTTTGATGTAGGACGCATCTACACTGGCACAGTGGAGACATACCTTTAGCGTTAATGGTGGTGATTTGTTGAGGGGGGCGTTCCTGATGCAGACACCCTCCTCCGATCCAGGGCCCAGCTACACAACCTTGTTGGGGTTGTATCTTTTTATTAGGTGGAGAGGAGGGAGGCCCTGCTCCCACCCCAAACTCCCTTCTCAGGCTGGCCCATCACAGCTGTGCTCCTCATTGAGCTCCTCAAATGCATGAGGGCCCTAGCTCAGGTATTCATGGGAGGTAACTTTGGGATTTGGATCAGGCAAGGGGAAAGAGAGTGGGTAAGGCACTGGACTGGAACTCAGGAGATCTGGATTCAAGTCTACCTCAACCTTTCTGGGGGACCTTGGGTAAGTCATTTAGGCCCAGATCTTCAAAGGTATTTAGACTCCTAACTTCCATTGATTTCAGTGGAAGTTAAGCCTAAATACCTTTGAGGATCTGGGCCTAAATATCTCTGCGCATCTCCTTCCCCTCTGTAAAATGGGAATATTTTCCTGCATCACAGGACACTGTGTTGATAGGAGCCATGTATGTATCTAGATAAATAGGTTAGAATGAGACTTTGTCTGTCTATTTTACCAGGCTAAATAGAAACTAAATACTACATGGCTCTTTCCCCTTGGCAAACAAACTGTATGTCAGTTTAATCAGCAGTCAGATCATAATGGTGAGATCGGTGGTGGAGCTGTTACTGAATGATCAGTGAATTTGCTACCACAGTCACTGTGCTCCCAGAGCTGGGTTCTGGGATCCCCTCAATTGTAGACATTGCCTCTCCAATATCTGTGTGTGTCTGTTTCTCTCAACAGGGCCGAGGCATATTTGCAAGTGGGAGTCCATTCCCTAAAGTAACCCTGGCCAGTGGACAGACTTTCTTCCCCGGCCAAGGAAATAATGCCTACGTGTTCCCCGGAGTGGCGCTGGGAGTCATTGCCTGCGGGGTCCGGCATGTCTCCAACGAGATCTTCCTCACCACGGCAGAGGTTTCAGATCCATATTTAACTGGTGCTTTTAAAACATAAAAAAGCAGCTTCAGTGAGGCTTGTTGAACCCCAGGAGTGTAGTTAAGTCCTTGGCTAGGAACAGGCGCAGGGCAATGTGCATCATCTGAACTTCACCTCCTCAGCTAAAGGCTGCAGACTTTCCCAACACAGCAGGATGCCAGAGCTTCCATTATGCCAACAGAAGTCCCCTGCATGAGCCAGCATTTGATTCCCCTCTATGGAGGGAGCTGAGGGGAGGGGTAGGGGATATGGCCTCTGGAGTCCTGGGTTTGTTTTCTTACACGCAAAAATAACAAATCCAAAACAAACCAAAAATCCCCCAAAGCCTTTGATCATATTGGAAACAGCTGAATTTATTCCATAGCCTTTCCCCTGCTGCAGGAGATGCCTGGCTCCCATCAGTGGAGGGAAAAGCAAGCAGCCAGGGCTCCCGCCACGCCAGCAGCTCTCACAAAGACATTTTTACCACTTTGCATTTTCCTCAGCCTTTGCTGTAGGCTGTATTTTTAAAAAACTGCCTGGTTTCATATCATAACATACAGCCAAGTGGCACGTTTGGGGGGCATAGCCAACTTTTTCTCAGAAATGGACTCACTTCTTTCAAAAACGGTATCTAGTCACGCACAGGGGTTTTTTTTGCAGAATGGGCTGCGCTTTCAAGCTCAGAATGAAACGGATGCACGTTTGAATTTTGGGTGGTTTTGCTTTTGATTGCAAGGACTTCTCCTGACTCTTGTAGCAACTGAAGTCTCAGCTACGCGCTGCCTTTTTAAAGCCTTAAGAGGGCGCATGCTGTACTTGATTGAGAACATCACCTATAACCTGCCTTTTCTTCATTCTAGTCTATTGCTGAAGAGGTCACGGAGGAGCATCTTGCTGAAGGGAGACTCTATCCTCCCCTGAGTACCATCAGAGAGGTGTCCTTCAAAATCGCTGTTAAAGTAAGAATTCAAGTATTCTAGTGAAGTTTTTGTTTATATATAAGCCAAGCTCTACCTCTCATAACGTTGGCAAGGATTTTTCTCTTGCCCTCATCTTTGATGTGGTTATGACTACCAGCATAAATGCACTGGCTATATTAGACCCAGAAACATGGGCGTGACTTTCCAAGGGATAAAGTAGGTCATTCAGGTTTATCAGAGCTGATTCAGTGCCATGGGCCAATCACAATTCCAGGTAGCCCCACACTGTGTAACTCCCATTTGGCTCCCAGTGTGGCTCCTGACATTAATTCCAAATTAGCCTCTGTCACACATCGGTGAAGCCTCCTTGCCCATTCCAAATTGCTGACATTGTAAATACTGAATCGGGATGTTGAGGTGAAGCGTGTTTTAATAATCCTAAGAAAATGAATCCCAGGTGGTTTAAAGCTCCATGCTCTATGTTTCTTGTCCTAAGTTGTGTGGCTTTCTTGTGTGATTTGAGCAAAGCAATAGTACTCTCAAACTCCTGAGTTTCATCCCAGATTTTCCAGTGGTTCTTTCTGTATTTGGGCAAATGGTTGAGACCCTTATGTTAAAAGTGGCCCATCTTCAGGTGCACACAGCTGGATTTTCAGAGTTGTAGATAATCCCCAACTGCACTTAGTCAATGGGAGCTGTGAGTGCTCAACATCTTTGCAAATCAGGGCCAACATTTGCAGACTTCAGGGGTCTGATCCAGTGATGCCTGAAATAAGTTGGAATCTTTCCATTGATTTCAGTGAGTTTATGGTCAGCCTTTGGGTGTCTAAATGTGGGCACCTAAATAAGTGGCCTGATTTTCAGAGGTGCTGAGCACCCAAGGCGTGTTCCATCATCCTTAACAGGAGCTGCAAATGTTCCGTGAAGAGTCATGGCCAGTGATTAAATATGGATTTATGTGTACATGTAGGCACCCATGGTTGAATAACTTGGCCTTAATGTCTATATTACCCCCAACTTAGAGACCACTTCTGAAAATTTACCTCATGCCTCAGTTTCACCTTTTCTGACTATGGGGATGTTAATACTTAGTTGCCCCCAGAGGAGTCTTGAGCATCCAGCAGTCTGTAAAGTGCTGTATACAACTGATCAGTAATAGATTTTTGAAAATGAAGCAGGAAATACCACTCACTTTCCATGCAAAACATACAACAGCACATCTTGCTTCACAGACTAGTGGTGCAGCCTCTAACACAGAAGTCTTGGCTGGTCCTGAACAGTTAGTCTTCTCTTCAGCATTTTAGTGTAACTCAGATAATGAAATCTCCCTCCTCCTGGGTAGGTATCCCAGGGTGCAACTCGCCACCATCCAGTGCGCTGTCTTTTGGGAAGTTTTGGCAATGCATGATGGGGCAAAAATGAGTCATGCGGGGTGACTGGGAGCAAGGGGACAAAGTCCCAGCATGCATCTTTCTCCCTCCTGTAATGTCATCCTTATCCCATAATTTCTGTGCCTTTTTAAAAAAAAACAAAAACCATGAACGTACATGGCCCTCCTTACTGTCCACCATCTGACAGAAGCATGGAATCTGCACAGTTCTGCACTATTGTCATGAGTGTTCCAAGCACAGGACACACGATCCTCCGATATTTGCAGAACCAAATCAGCAGGGAACACGATGATTTCACAGAGGGCAGATTTCATGAGATATGGTGAAAACCAAAGCAAGGTTGTTGGTGGCATTCACAGAGCAGCTGCAGACAGTGAAGCACCACTTCTGGGACCAAGAAACAAGCACTAACAGATGGGATCGCATCATAAGGCAAGTTTGGGATGACGAGCAGTCGCTGCAGAACTTTTGGATGTGCAAGGCCACATTCCTGGCTCTATGCTTGCCGCAGCCTTCCAACACAGGGACACCACAATGACAGCTGCACTGAAGTGAAAAAACCAGTGGCAACCGCCCTGTGGAAATTTGCAATATCCGATTGCTACCGATTAATGGGAAATCATTTTGGAGTCAGAAAATCCACTGTAGATGCCATTGTCATGCATTTATGTCCATTTTGGCTACACACATACAGCAACCTTGGCTCTCACAGGTCAGTGCATGTGAAGCTGTGATTGGCCTTACTGTCCCCCGGTGAGGAGTAGCAGAGGTAGGGATACAGCTCCTGATGCCTGAAGGGGTTGTGTGTAAGGAGGTGCTCTAATGGAGTTCTCCATAGACAGCAAAGGGAGTGGCTGTTGGATCTGTAGGTCCACAAGAAGCTGCAGCATCTGTATTTGCTGCCAGAGAAGCCCCATTATGTCCTGGTGCATCTCCCTCTCCTTTTCCTGCTGGGATTCCTGGGCCTTTCATAGAATCATAGAATATCAGGGTTGGAAGGGACCTCAGGAGGTCATCTAGTCCAAGCCCCTGCTCAAAGCAGGATCGATCCCCAATTAAATCATCCCAGCCAGGGCTTTGTCAAGCCTGACCTTAAAAACTTCTAAGGAAGGAGATTCCACCATCTCCCTAGGTAACGCATTGCAGTGTTTCACCACCCTCCTAGTGAAAAAGTTTTTCCTAATATCCAACCTAAACCTCCCCCACTGCAACTTGAGACCATTACTCCTTTCTCCTGTCCACTCTTTCCTTGTCCATACAGTCTGCAGTATTCACCCTCCAGGCCCTTTGTTCACGGTCTGATGCAGCGCTGGATTGCCAGACCTTGCTGAACATGTCACCCTGAGTCCTCTTCTTTCTTCTCCATATCGGGCTCAGGCATCCTGCGGGTATGGAGGGGGAACAGCAGCAGCTACCCGTAACACACACACAGGTTGTCAGAATAGTCACAACAGAAAGCGAAAATTAAGATTCAGAACTCCCATCCCTTGTTCCCCTGAAGTTTTAAAAAGACATGCCTGTTGTCATTTCTGCTTTGTAGTGCTTGTGCACGGCACCATTCACAGCACCAGCCATGTGAGCATGGCCCACCAGGGGCAAGAGAAATAAGAAGGGAATTGCTTGATGGCATGAAACTATGAGTATAGGGCAGTGGCATTGAATACTGGCACCAATTTCCACAGGCGGTGGTGATTTTAGCTGATATCTCACTCCTGAGGGTAACAAAGGCATGGACAGCACAGCTGCTGTTGGTGTCCTGAAGTTGCCCGGGCCCTTATGTCGCTAGCCTGTTGACTGCAACGGTGCTTGCCGAAGTCATCGCCAACTGACGTGGGAAAATGTTCTGCCACGGAGGAAGACATAAGGCTGCCATCCTAGAAACCTTCAGGAGAGGATTGCAGGGTACCAGCATGAACGTTTCATTGAGATCTCTCAGGCGGATTCAAGGGACATCCCTGTGTACATAAACAAACTGCTCCACAAACCCCACACTGCCCCGCATAACTCTACAGGGGAATGAAGAGCAACTAACAACTCTACTTCTCCTTGTTGTGCCACTACCTCTTCTAGGATGAGTAAACTAATGAAAAGTCAATAGCTGTGGCCTGTTACATTGGGGTACATCACGGTACTGGGAAATACATTTACACTCTTACCCAAGGTTCCTTCCCCTGCATTGCGCTCACTGATGCTCAGCTGCTGGCACTGACTTGACTGTGGTGGAGTCTCTAGCAGGTCCTGGTTCGTGACATAGCTGGAACCCTGGTTGCATGTCCCCCAGTCTCCTTCACCTCCTCCTCCTCATTTCTGTGCATGCCATGAGCCTGTGTCTTAAGCTCCTCGGAGGTATCTACGGGCTGCTGGTGAGGTTTCCACCAAGTATGGCATGTAGCTCTTTGGAAAAGCAGTGGGTCTGCAGCTTGGCATTGGATCACTTGTTGGCCACCCTGGCCTTCTGATAGGCCTGCTGCATTTCCTTCGCTTTCTCATGGCTCTGCTGCATCCTCTGTGTAAGCTGCTCATAGCTGTCCACATTTCTACGGCTTGTCCATAGCTATGCCTGCACAGGCTCTTCTCCCCACAGGCTCAGGAGATCCAAGATCTCCCATCTACTTTAGGCCAGAGCAAGTCTGGAGCATGTAGCCAGCCTGGTCACCTGGGCAGTTGCACACAACAGTGGAGAGCTGCTAGGTGTGCTTGCTAAGCCGGACAATCAGAAAATGGCATTTCAAAAATTTGCAGAGTTTTAAGGTGGTGGTGGGGCCTTCCAGTCTTTGTGACCTCTGGGCAGTGGAGTTCACAACTGTGACCACAGCAGTCAGTGTCAGGCATTGTGAGACAGCTGCTGGCTTAGAGTCGACATAGATAACGCAGTGTCTACACTTGCACTGTGTCGACCTCAGTACATCAACCCTGGCTCAACACTGCTCGGGAAGGTGGGGTTACCATGTCTCCGTAAGGGGGCCCCATCGGTGTGAGACAAATTAAAGTGTAGATACAGGCACAACTAGGTCAACGCAGGGTGGCTTACGTCAACTGAACTTCATAGTGTAGACCAGGTCTTGGGGATAAAGAGCACCAGGGATTGAGCTATTCATTATTGTTTTGTTTTGTTTTTCTTTGCAGATTGTTGACTACGCCTACAAACATAATCTCGCTTCCTGGTACCCAGAACCAGAAGACAAGGAAGCCTTTGTCAGAGCCCTCATCTATAGCACTGATTATGAGTCATTTGCTATCGATAACTACAGGTGGCCACAAGCAGCCATGCACATTCAAGATGTATAACTTTTTAAAAATTCTGATCCTTAATATTCCCTGGTTGTTACCATCATTGCCATAAATGCGTCTTCAGGCCTGCAAAATTTTACTGTATCTGGAAACAAGCACTTTCTTACTTGCAGCTGCCTTTTTACTTTGTAAGTACCTGACTAGGCAAAAGGCCAGAGCCAACATGTGCAGTGACAGAGACATATATGTCTAAAGGCTTACCCCCCAAGAAGTCCTGCACCGCAGTTTCCACCTTCCTTTAAAGCACTCCTGTGACTTTGCATAAACAGTATTCTCTTCTAAACAAATTGTCTCACTTCTGTATCAAAAGAATGAATTTTAAAGTTGCAAATCACACAGGAACCATAGCTCCGAAGGAGCTGGCTTGGGTCCTCTCTTCTGCAAAGAGATGGTGGTAGAGGCCAAAACTGTCACTGAAGTTTAATTTCTTTGACACACAGAGTGCTGCAGTGATTTTTTTATTTTTATTATTAATCAGAAAGAATTGCAATCAAAGGCACTGCGGCATCACTACTGTTTTGGCAATCTAGTCTCCTTTCGGTGACACTAGCGGAAATCAGAAGTCGCTGCACTGGAACCAGTGGAGTTTGCTGTTTAGGAAGGCCTTTCAAAAACCTTCCACGTTGAGTGTCTAATATCCTGGGACCTTACCAATCAGTTTAAATGTATTAGTGAGGAGTATCCTTTCCTTATCAATTCCTCTAAAAGGGAATAATATCAGTCCAACCTGAAGATGTTTTTGAAGAGATGATAACTTGAAGATCCAAGTTTGTCCTTTGCAGTGTTGTTGTAGCCATGCTGGTCCCAGGATATTGGAGAGCCAACGTGGGTAAGGTAATATCTTTTATTGGACCAACTTCTGTGGTGAAACAGACAAGCTTTTGAGTTGCACAGAGCTCTTCTTCAGGTCTGGAAAAGGTACTCAGAGTGTCATAGCTAAATACAAGATGGGGCATATGATTGGTTTCATGGTGCATTTGTCCAGAAATTCTTCCTCATTTTTTGTCCTATGACTGAGAGGTGTTAATGGGGTCACTTCGCCTTGAATGGTCTCTTAAAATATGTGTTAACTACTTACGTTAAACAATCTGTTCCACTTTGTATTTAGCTGTGACAGTCTGCTTTCCCACACCTGAAGAATGGCTCTATGTAGCTCGAAAGCTTGTCTCTTTCACCAACAGACGTTGGTCCAATAAAATATTACTTCACCTACCTTGTGTAAGTTTGTTCTGTTTATTTAAAGCCTTATTCTATTGGTTCATATAATCAAATGTCGGTAACCTACATAACTACAATCAGGCTCCTACACGCCACAGATTTAAGAATATTTGATTTTCCTAACACATTCTCCCTTACCTGGCTCCAATATGGCCAAGAAAGGTCTCAGGGAATAGTAATAGGGTTTTTTTACTTAACATGAAACAGCACCCAAAGCATCATATCCACTAAGTCAAGTTTATATTTCTGCTGCTGGGTTAAATACAGGCTTTAACCATACAAGTCTTGCCTCATCAAATCTGACTGCCAATGCAAAGGGATGGACATCCATTTATTTTCAGACTAACACACTGAAAGGGAAAACAGAATCTGATCTATTTTAAAATGTTATTAATTGATGCATAAATAAAAAGTCTTAGATCATGGTTGGGTGAAAACAGACTCATCACATAATTAAATTCAGCATGACCATATCAAGAGTCAGCAATGCTCACATGTGGAACGATGATGAACCAGTTAGATCACATATGATGCATCCCCACTGATATCACAGCAGTCAAATAGTTTTCTCTAAACTGTTGCAACCAGTTCAGCAATGTAAATGTTTGTTTCCTTATTAGCTAAGACCTCTAGTTTCTTTCCCCAATTAAAATATCAGTTAAAATGAAAACCTGCAACACATCTGACGTGTAAAGCCAAAATTGGGAGCTTTCTCGTTGCTTTAAGCTCCCAGTCATGCAAGGCTTTACACACAGACTTAACTTACGCTCACATCGTTGGGGTCAATTACTGATAGCGGATACAGTAAGTCTTTGCAGGATCAGGGCCTAAGCCATTCAGACTGTCTGACTCTACATTGAGTCCACTGACATCACGTTTCAGCAAGCAATGAGATTTACTGTGCTTCTCAGGGTTTAACCTTAGGTTCTCCTCAGTCAGTATTCGGCTCAATAAAGCTTTACTTTCAGCTCCAGTGATGTAAAAATGGGCATGCACCAGAATCCGAGCTGATCACCCCCAAATTTTGGAGGAAAACATTCAGCATCCCACCTGGATGGAGGGTGGAGGTTGTATCCGTTTCTAAACAAGAGTCAGTATCTGAACTGAAATCACTAATGATTTTTCTCCTTTACTTCAAGCTATTTGCATACCTTGTTCTGAACACCCCAGGTGGCATGCTCCCACCCCACTCAGCTCATGAGCTAACATAAACCACATTTTGAATTCAGTCAGTGACTAAAGCAGCAGGAGAAGAAAGCACTCCCAAAACAATGCACACTTCCAGCCCAAAATACCTTCTGGATTTTTTCATTGTCTTTATTCTCCCCTCCAGTCATCAGGTGCTATAATGACAAGTTAATCTAAATATTATTCTACTTTTCCATGTACAGGTCCAATGGAACCCTTTCATTGTTGCTTTGTCTGTAAAACTGTGGTAAACTGCCTTAGTAATTCTTAGTGTTACTTTATGAAGACCTCAGACAAGCTGAATGTGCTGGCCATTTTATCAGAGAGCATTAAACAGCTCCTGTAAGTGATTTCAGTGCTTTTGTAACACAATGACAGGTTTGTGAACTGCGTATGTTTCATTTGTATAATCAATTAAAGCTTACTTTAAAAGTGCAACATCATCCCTTCTTTTAAAACCCACGTATGCCAAATGGTTTCTGAAGAGTATTTCAAATTCATTGCATATGCCATACTAGACATTTGTCAGTGAAAGCCAGGCATTCAGACTACACCTGAAAATGGAAGCGAATGCAGTGTTACCTACTCTCTTGGGCACCAAAGCAGGTGAGGGTTCCCATTAATGTCAGTGGGACTGCTCACGTGTTCAAGTTCTTTGCTTAGTCAGGACTGAACTTGTGCATTAGGGGCATTGTGCTGTTGGAGCTGCCATCTTTCAAATTAGACAGCAAGCCATGAGCCTCACAACTTCTAACTGTATAGAAAAATAAATTCCAAAACAGAACGCGCCAGCCACTTCTCCACCTGTGGCGAGCATGAGAGAAACACATGACAGATGGGTAGTCACAGCGGTTAATGCACAATTGGAAAGTGCTCGGCGATGAGCACAGGCTCAGAACCTGTCTAGACCAGAACAATTGTGACCATTATGTATCCCATGGCACCTTAAGGTTGTTAGTCCTGCAGCCCTGCCCACCTACATGCCTAGTTACAGCTTCACCTGGATAGGAGAATCTTCGGTGCTTGTCCTACCCCGCTATAGAGCACTGCTATTCGCTGTCCAAGAGCCGCTGCTGCCCCAAAGGAGGCCTGCATTGGGTCTCTCTCTTATTTACCTCACTGGGCTTTTGGAGGCCTTAGTTAACTGATTGCACAGATTGCTAAAGTGAGTTAGTTGAGGTAGGGACAGTATCTTCCCTAAGCATTTCTGTGGCATCTAGTACAATGATGTCTTATGTAGAAAGGTTGGGAACTACTGCAGTATAAATATTCAAAGATAATACAGTTCCAGTGTACAGAAACAACCTCTGTCCCTGCTCATGTTCGGGGACCGTTTGTGCAGACAGTAGAAAGGTGTAGCCGGTGATGTCCTGGGTATGAGGGCCTACAGCTGTCAGTAACAGACCAGTTATTGCACTCTATCAAAGGTGAGTTTTGGGAAGGGGAAGAAGAGTTAGAAGTAAGGCCCCAATGCTATAGCCCTTGCAAAACGCCTGATGAGCTCAACAAGCTTTGCTGGAATACTGCAGGATCAGACTTTAAATCTCAAGGGCTTTAGCAATAGCAAGAGAAAGCGCTGCTGCACTCTGGAGTGCGAGTCAGGGCAGGCATCTGACTGTTTGGACAATTTGTATTCTCTTGGGTTCTGTAGAAAATTGGCAGTATTGGTTGATCTCTCGCCTAATTAGCACATTTCTCAACTTGCCTCCGTGGCTGTGATTCAGCTCTTGGCCTGTCTCCACTAAGGCTCAGCATCTCAGCCTTTAAACATGTCTTATTCCAATTCAGCAGTTCCAGCTGGACAAGTGCCTGATGAGCAGAGGACTCAGTTGCAGAGCTTGTATTCAAAATGAGGCTTGGAGCTTAGGATTTTCTAAAAGGCTTGCTTGAGCTAGTATTTCAGCAAAGCGCCCACAGGGCTCCTCACACCCAAGCACTGTAGCACATCGAAGGGGTGAAGCAGTTCATCTGGAAATACTTATTCCACTTAGTACCCACAATATTTGTGGGATAGCAGGCAGGCTGTGTAACAGAACTTCCTTTCAGAATGCCTCTCGCTATCAGACTCCACAGCAGAGATTAATGTTAACTGGCATCAATGGTCGATATTTAGGTGAATTGAATGGTTTGAAGAGCACCAGTCTATGTGAAACCCTGGTGAGTGAAATTGTCTAGACAGCCAAATAGACGACGACATGGACAGTGGCAGTGGAAGCTGCCCTACCAGCAAGGCCTGCCCTCGGATCAGGAGGTACAACAATTTGGTGTGAGATTAGGTCAGTCTCCATGCCGATTCGGTTCTTCCTCTTTGCTGAGATTGCTAAGAAGGGTGTTAAATAGGGGTAGCTGTCCCCTAGATACTGGACCGAGGACACCAACTCCTTTCCTACAGGGTACTAAATGGTGATCAGAGAAGTAGCAATTGCTGATCACTTAGTGCCAACTTGACAGGATAACAATCTCCTGCTCCCCACGCTGTCTTCTTTCTGCCCCTCCAGATCTTACCATCAGTTCAACTAACCTACAGATCTGGTACCAAAGCAAGGAAATTACTACTTTGGAACTTTGTTTAATTCAACATAATTCTCATAAAAACCTAAGTCCGAAAGCAACAATCTTTTGAGCAATTTTCATTGAGCTGTGAGACATAGCTCACCACATTCAGGGGGGAAAAATCCCCAAGAAGAAAACAAAAATAAGGTGAAAACTTGCTTTAAACCATTAACCGGGATCCTGGAACGTATCTAGACTCTGACCACACATTGGATTCCCCACAGTTGGTCGTGCGCCTCTTACACTGGAAACAGCGTCGGTATCTCTCGCACTGGTCAAGTAGCATAAGCTTGTCCCCAGCACTAAAGTTAAAGAGAAATGTGTTAAATGTTGTTGACTAAGGGAAAACAGAGAAATAAGCTGCACCAATTCAGCGTCATCCCCACTGCAGTCAATGGGAATTATACCTGCTAATGCCAGAGTTGCAACTGGTTCTCTGTCTGGGTCACGGATCACACAGAGCCCTCCTGTACAATACAGTTGGAGGGTAACGTTTGCAGCTGTTCATATGGGGGCTGAGAAAGGCAGCCCTTCAACGGAAGTAAACCAGTGCAGAAGGCATCAATGCAGTACACAGTTGACTGCTGCGAGCCTGTTTGCTTGGAAGGTGGCATGAAAGGAAGGCCAGCCTAAGCTGGACTTTGGAGCCAACCTTTTGGTAAATCTAGAGAGCCCTTTAGACTCAATCCACTTATGTATAGGGTGCCCTAGAGGTGTCCCTCTGTGTGTGAGCTGTGCCTGATCAGCAGTTTTGATACAAGGCTCCCAACGGACAAGGCAGAGCAGAGTGGTTCTGGCCCACAAGAGGTGGCCGCAGGAGACCCACTAACTCAAAGGCACCTCTAAGGCCACTTACATCATCTATGGCAAATAACAACACACCTAATGTACTTAGTTTTTGTTGGTCTTTGCCAAATGAAGATTGCTGGCTCGCGTCAGCGAGTCCTTAAAACAGACCTGGTAAACAAAGGTAAACCTCTATGCCAGTGATTCCCAAACTGGGGTTCGTGAACCACTGGGGGTTCGCAGAAAAAAAATTCCCTCATGGTGGACAGAGCTGTCCCTAGAGATCCCGGGCAGCACAGGGCCAGCAGCCCGCAGCCCCTGAACTTCCAAAAGCTAAGCAGATCAAAGCAAGCATATCTATCACACTGAGGAGATTTAAACTTCAGGACTCCTTATAAGAAATGGAAAGGGAGGTGGATATTTTTTGCTGTTTTTAAAATTAAATAGGCAGCTAGTATTGTTTGTAAAATTATGATGAAGAATAAGTTTAAGCTTTGTTGTAACATGCGTGGTTTGTCTGGACTGCTCAAGACCTGAATGCTTGTGTAGGAGGAACGCTTTGAGTTGGCTTCTTAAATCCCTTCGTGCTGTTTCACATCTGATACTCCTTGATGAAACCTAGGAGCCTTGTCTTAGTATAGGCAAATATACTCAAAGTGATACAAGCTAGGAAAGTGAGATCTTGGAAGAGTGTTGCCGTTTTCATAATGTAATAAAAATACTGTCATGATAAATAATAACTAATAATAAATAGTGTGTAATAAGCATGTCATCAAAACAAATTTTATATTTCCAAGATCACTGCTTTTATCATTTATACTCAGGTGAAGGAGAAATATCCCTGGAAACATTCATTTTTAGGAGAGCGTTCGCGGGTTGTTAAAGTTTGGGAACCACTGCTCTATGCACTAGCCACGCAGCAGGAGGTATCACCCTCTCTGTACTGCATTAGAAGGCTAGCAGCGTCCAGCCATGGCAGAGATCTGGCTGGCTGCGAGATGCTAAGTGCTTTAGAACATGGCATTAAGACATTCCACCTGGGCTGTGGCAATGGAGCACTAAAACACAACCTGAAGTGCCTAGATATGCCTCTTATTAGGCTCTTTACACTTATTCATTTTTCAGAAATCTTTTTAAATCCACCTTGTTTGGCACTTTATGCAGCAACGATTCCCACCTCTGGAAAACCGGAGTAGACAGGTGAGAAGATAGGAAGAGAACCTATGGATATCAAAGGGCCTAGGTATCCCACTAGGATTTTAACCTTCAGCAGGTTTGGAGAGATATTACTGAAGGAGTAACCTGAAGACAAAAGGTTTAACACAGGTAACATTGAGGGCATAAGCTGACAACAGATATTTTAGGCCAGTGGTTCTCAACCAGAGATATGCATACCCCTGGGAGTACACAGAGGTCTTCCCAGGGATACATCAACTCATCTAGATATTTGCCTAGTTTTACAACAGGCTACATAAAAAGCACTAGCAAAGTCAGTACAACTAAAATCTCATACAGGCAATTACTTGTTATACTGCTCTATATACAATCCCCTGAAATGTAAGTACAATATTTATATTCCAATTGATTTATTTTATGACTATATGGTAAAAATGAGAAAGTGAGCTATTTTTCACTAGTAGTATGCCGTGACACTTTTGTATTTTTATGTCAGATTTTGTAGCAAGTAGTTTTTAAGTGAGGTGTAACTTTGGGGTAAGACAAATCAAGACTCCTGAAAGGAGTACAGTAGTCTGGAAAGGTTGAGAACCACTGTTTTAGGCCATAATTTGACCTGCAGAGCCTTGGTGATGATGCACAGGATGGAAAAGTCCAAGCTTCATTGTCAGAGCCCTCGGTGAGTTTCCAGGGCTGCCTGTTTGAAATAACATCTTTTTACTTGAGCAAATGTGATCCAGAAATCAGTGAGAAACCGTGAATATGGAGCTACTTGTATAGGAAAGAATTGCACTTTAAAACTCAATTCTTTTGGCTAGCCTTCCACTAACTGTCATCTCCTACTTTCTTGCCATCCACCCAAACAGAAAACAGACAGTATAAAATGTCAGTACAAATCCGCAATAAAAATCCTGGAAGTGAAGAATGCCAATCCTATGATTCTGTTCAAGCTGAGTATACAAACAAACATTTTCTTGCCCTAAATCCGATTGGCAGTGACTTTGGGTGGGGAGTATCACCTTCTTCTGCAGTGTGGGGCACTGGTCATTTGCCAGGATTAACTGGGTATATCTCACTTAATCAAGTCCCTGCCATTCCGGGGGCCTAGGGCCCTGGTGCACCTTGGCCACTCCTGTTCTCTGCCTGTGGCCACATAACAGTTTTGTCTCCTATGGGCTATGATATTTTGGTCTGATTTTGGTTGCTGGGTTTAGTGTGCAGGTGCAGGGTGGTGTTACATAAGAATATAAGAATGCCAATGCCAGGTGCCCCAGAGGGAATGAACAGAAAATCATCAAGTGATCCATCCCCTGTCACCCATACGCAGCTTCTGGTGCTGGTGACCTGTGACCAACAGGAGGTCCGACAAGATAATTTAGTGATCCCACTCTGGCCTTAAACTCTATGACTAGGTGCCTATTTGTATCTCTAGGCACCTGAATACCTTTAGAAATCTGGTCCTTACATCCATTAGCTTGGAGATAGTGGTGGACTCAAACTTCTTACATGGTCCAGCTACTACAGTGGGACAAAGGCCTGTACTGTGTTATTATGGTTTTGCTCCTAACCCATTCTAGAATGAAGCAGTACTGAGATCAGTTATGGGGTTGCCACTTCCCTGTGCTCTGATGGCAAAGCACTGCAGCACGTGCGACTGGCGAAAGGATGGGCACTGTAGCAAAAACGGGGAAAAAAGGAAGACGGGAAAGGGGAAATCCCCTCAGTGTTCAGGAATCTTACCGCTCAAATAGCTTCTCGTCAACTTCCCTCAGCCTTTTCATTCCAGCGCTTTTTTGCCAGTCGTCCTGCATTGCTAAATTCATCTGGAATATTTTCTCAAACTGCGCTCCTCTGTCTGCAATCCACCTGAAATGTTATTGAAAAGGTCTCTCCTACGATTCATGGATGAATCTATCTCCCACTCCCCCACTCTGTCAGTTTGTCCCTGGGTTTCTTTAACCACAGCCCCAGCATGGTGGGCTGTCTAATATGACTCCCTCTCCCTGCCAGCAGCAGAGCTGCTGGAGGCTCTGACAAAGTTAATGAATTGCACATGGACCGAGAGCACTACCTGAGCCAGAAACCCTCTGGTGCTTAGAAACCCCACACAGCCTGGGGCAGATCTGGTTGCTCTTGGCAGAGCCTATGAAGGCCTCTAGCTCAGCTGAGAAGATTAACCACAAATTCAGGCACTTGTCTGAAATGTTCAGCCAGAAATGGGCCCAATCCACAAAGTTCAGCTCTGGACTTGCACAGACTGAATCAATCCCAGCAGAAGGCTCCAAGTCTCTCCACTTAGACCTGATCCAGCAAAGCACTTAGACACAGGCTTAAAGTTAAGCATATGTGTGGTCCTATTGTCTTCAGTAGGAACTATTCACATGCTTAAAATTAAGCCTGTGCTTAAGTGCTTTGCTAGACTGGGGCCTTAAAGAGGAGAAAATGCACCCTCCTGCCCTACCCCAGAGCCCTGTGAGGCAATTTCGTTACTGCTGTTGAATTTTCCCCAGGCTTCATTGGAAAGGCTTACTCTCTCTTGGCTCTCTGCAGCATGTCAGCTTCTCTCCTCTGCTCCACCAGCTGATTGAGGATAGCCGTCCTCTTCTGCTGTGCTGCGGAGTGCAGCTGGTGCTTGTAGAACTCCCGGGCTCGGTGCCTTTTTTCTGCAAGCTTCTCATTGGTCATATCACTCTTCCCAAAGATGAGATCTGCGGAGTCAGGCTCACAGACCGGCAACTGTATCGGCTTCAACTTTATCTGTATGAGGTTGATAAGAAGATTTTACCATGATGGAACTAACCTCACACATGGCTCTGAAAACTTTGAACGACAGAAGCTAGGGATGGGAGAAGACCTATTAAATCAGCTAATCCACTTTCTCAATTCTGGATTTAAATGCCACAACCAATGAGGATTCTACTACTTCCCTTGATTATTTTATAGTTCAATGTCAGGAAGCATTGATATTCAAGTCCATATTTTTCCTTTTTAAATATCACCTTATGGAGGAGGCAGCATGATGTACTGGATAAGGCACTGGACTGGGAGTCAGGACACCTATGTTCTATTCCACCTATGCCACTAACCTGTTCTGTGACCTTGGGGAAATCCTTTCACCTCTCTGCGACTCTGTTTCCCCTCCCGCCCTTTGTGTGTTTTGTCCATTTACTCTGTAAAATCTTCAGGGCAGGGACTGAACACTGCCTAAGCTCTTGGAATCTAGTGGCAATCTAGAAATTCAAAATTTCTCAAAAAAAATCCATGATGACTTTGTATAGCTCTACTCAATCCAAACAGATACCTCTACATAACTAGTTTGAGGGGGGACGGGCTATTTTCTCAGCCAGCAATAGAAACATTGTAAACTGCACCTCATTTTAGGTGTTAAATAGACTCACCATCTCAACAGCTTTAAAATACTGGCTAGAAGGATAATTCTTAAAACTTTGGAGGATCTTATTATTGCTTATATCATTATAGAGTTTTTTAATATGTCACTTCAGATATGGTATATCTCCACCCTTCTCCACAACTTTCTGAAAAACATTCCAGTTTTTAAAGACACATAACTTAGCCACATAATAGGTAGGAAAGTTATCAAACACAAGATTTTTTTTTTCATTTTAAAAACTTTGTCACTATCAGGTCAGTGGACCTGGCCTGGTGAGGAGCACATAATTATTAATCACAAGTTTTTACCTGTGTATCCAAGGCCCTCTTATAGCACTGCATTTCTTCCATCTTGCCCTTCAGATATTTAGCTCTTTGGGCAGCTAGCCTAGAAATAAAAATACAAAAGAGTCACAAGAGTTTTACTGAGGTGATATTTTGAAGAAATACAATTCATCCAGGCATGCCCTGTGAAATACAAATCTGCCAATAGTATAGCTGAGTCCATAACATTTAGCTACCACGATTCTCTATCTTACCAAGATGGCTCTGCTTCCTCGAAAATTATTATAATAATAATCATTAATAATGATGACTTCCATGATAGAGTAAGACAACTTATGACACTGAGCTTGAGCTGTGTGCATCACCCTTGCTTCCATGCAATAATATAGCAACAAATCTCTGGCCACGTCAGATTATTAGGATTCTCACTATGATGCTGCCTACCTTGGCAGCTTGGACTTTCCTAAATTCAGCAGGAATAGGACTGAGACCTCCTCATGCTCCAAAAACACAGTCAGCCCCTACTATGTGATCCAAAGGAAGCCTCCATTGGCTATTAGCAATATAGGGCCTATGACACACAATGTAAATGGTCTGATTCCATCTGGCAGAGGGCAGTGATATGCATACAGTAAACCCTAGCCAGCTAATTTGTTAAATCATTGTCCTTGTGTTTGAAGAGACAAAAAAACAGTTCATAAGTGGCTGAACCTCTAGAATTTCCTACCATAAGAGTAAAGTTAATCTGTGTAGGAGACAGAGCATTCTCAGGGCCAGTCAGAGACCACGGGATGAACTCCCCTAGGAACCAAGAACCATCACAAACCTCCCTCTACCTTCCACTCCAAATGCAAGGAGCACTTCTTCCACCTGCCTTCTCTAATACAAACACAGAGTAGCATGTAGGTAAACAACACACAACAAAACTGAACCCGAACCAAATCAAGAAGTTACACTGCACATATAATTATATCACTTAATACACGGCTGGAAGGCACGCCGATACTATGGCAATAAGAACCTACTTAGAAGCGAACACTATACAGAATAGGAAGGTGAGGCGATAACATTTTACTGTAGAGAATGCTAACTGGAGTAATTCTATAACAGAATGAAATGACTGCTACCCATTGCCCTGATTGGCACAGAGTGCCTGCTTGTACTGCAGTTATGCATAAATGAGATGCAGGGAAGACACAATAAACCAGAGTTGATTCCTCATGGTTACAATGTCCTCGTTCACCATTTCACATATTTTTCTTTTCAAATCCCATATAGTGGTTCAGCTTGAATTTTAGCTCTGGCTACAAAAACCTTTGGCTCAAATCAACATGGAAGCTACTGCCACGTAATTAGCCTCTCTCTCCACACCCACGCACATAAATTCTGCCTAAATTGCTTGTAGAGATATTGCATTACACTCACTGCACACAAACATTGTTAAATCTGCATCTTTACTTCTCTCTGAGCCAGATTCTGATTGCCATTACATTAGTGTAAAACCAAAAGTGTCTCCATTGACGTCAATGGATTTACATCAGCATCAGCGAAATCAGAATCTGGACCCTTATGTTTATTTGTGAGCCTAATATTACTTTCGTCTACCTTAGCAATGACACTGAATAAGACACACAGAAACAGTCCTTACCCCAAGAAGCCCCTTTTCTATCATACAAGATTAATCCAAGTCATTCTGAAGTCAACAATCCTGATCTTTGTGCCATTTCATATAAGGCAGTAGTGGCTTCCCCTCATTCCCCATACTAATTGTATAGGAGTAAATTGGTGAATGTAGACTTTTAAGGATATTTATGGGATGGATTGTTGTTGTATATGTATCTCTTTGACCTGTACTGTAGAACTGACCTGTAACATCAGGTGCTTAAACACCAGTAGGTGGGTGGAATGATTCGATAGGTTAGACTGGATAGAGACACAATAGGAATATTTTAAAATCATATTTCTGATCACATTCTCACGGGGATCCCAATCCAGCATTCAAAACAGAACAGAACAAGGGCTAGGTAACATTTTTTGTGCAAATAGTTCTTTCATTGAAACATGCCTTTTTCAGGGCACCAAAGCTATTCATGAAATTCAGGTTGAATTCAGTGAACAGTTTCAGCTGGGGAAAAAAATGGAAAAGAAAAATCTGAAATGTTGGCATGGTCCGTTTCCAAATGTCATTTCAAATCAACATTCTAAACATTCAGTTTCAGCCCAAACACTATTTTTTTCTTTGGTTTTTGTTTTGGCGAGAAAAAATGAAAAAATCAGTTTCTGTTTGACACTAAGTGGTTTGGCCACAGAACCAAAAAATAAATTTTTCACTCAGCTCTAAACAAGACTGGCTTTACTACCATTGCCTCTGGGTCCTAACTCTAGTGCCAAGGGCAAGAGATGTGTAGAATGGACCCACTCCCACCAGCACCACACCCATTTCCTACCCTAGGCAGAGACAGCAGGCAGACTTACTCTTCCGCAAGCTGCACTTGTTCCAGCCGATCCATCAGCTCTTTGTCCTGCTTTAGTTTTGCCTCCTTCTCCTTCTTATCCTCCATTTGCTTCAACAAGTCTTGTGAATACTCCTCTTGCTTGGCATATGGGGGAGGGCTGGGCGGCCGTTTAACGAAAACATATGATTTCTGCAAGGAAAGAAACACATTTCATATCTGAAGGGAGAAACGAGATAGAAGACGATACCATGAAAACATGGCATCATTTCCTTAAATATGAACACTGCAGAACCATTTCAGGCAGAGATGCATTAGCAGTACCCAGAAAGGGGACAATCCCATCAGAACCAGGAGAATCACCCCAAAATTCCCCTTGGATGGTGGCAAAATGTTGACAAAGGTCTCACTAATGCCCCCAAGTAGCCCAACCACTATCACTATTGTTATTACTGTGCTCCAGTACGCTGTGCTAGATAATGTTCACTTACATCGCAGGAAAGTCTGCTGCAGTTTCCACGGTATGCATCTGATGAAGTGAGCTGTAGCTCACGAAAGCTCATGCTCAAATAAATTGGTTAGTCTCTAAGGTGCCACAAGTACTCCTTTCCTTCCATTACAGGAATTACTGATGATGTCCTGAGGCCTGTGTTAGGCAGGTCAGACTAAATGATAACAAAATCTGAGCATCACTGCTAAATGCGTTAATAGTCTCCCTTGCTGAAAGTTCTCACACTGAAAGGGTTTGTCTATTAATGCTTTGTGTGACCCAGTTTCTTATGTTTCTTTCCATGTTATATATACTAATGGAAAGTCAATACACAGCTTGGGCAGAAAAGTTACCAGGATGGGACTATTCTTCTTAAAAAACAAAACCAAACAAAAAGCTCTTACATGAAATTCTGTGGATTTTTCATTCTTGTGGTTTCTCATTGCTTCGGCCACCCCTAGATTAAAGGCAGCGTTTTTTTGGTTCTGTTCTCTGTTCGCCAAGAACTTCATCTATCGTGGGAAGAAAAGAAAAGAGATGCATTTTAAATGAAGATGTGAACAGAAGTAATGTCACTGCACAGCCAGGAAATCCTCCAGTAGTGACATGTCTATTCTCTGGACATGCAGTTTACATTCTTCCTTTTATAATGAAATAGATAATTCTGTACATTAAAGACCTGAGCCCCAGCCCACTGAAGTCAGTGGAAAGACTCCCCATGGACATCAATGGGCTTTGGATCAAGTCCTAATAGTTTAGGTCCTAATATTATTTACCACACCATTAAAAGATTAGATTTACATAAAATAAGAATATTACTGGTAACATTTTAATACTTTCTAAAACTAATATATTTATAGTGAATAATGACAATACCACTTAGCTTTCTACAACACTTTTCAGCCCATAGACCTAAAACTGCTTTACAAAGGGAGTATCATCATCTTCCCTTTACAGATGGAGAAATTGAGGCACAGAGGTTAAATGATTTACCCAGGGTTACACAGCATGTCAGTGGCAGAGCTGGGAACAGAACCTAGGTCTCCTGACCACTAGGGTCCTACTTACTAGGCCACATAACCTCCCCTAAGGGCACAATTCTCTTCTCCAATCCACCTGGCAGATTTGTGTGTTGATATTTTGCTGTATATTTGCAGGGGTCAATTTATGTCTCTTTGAGAGCTCAGCATTCACAACTCTTGTGATTTTATAGGCAGTCTTGTGATATTTGTTCTTTTTCTTAAGCTCCCGCTCATGAAATAATGTGACTAGGTGAGAAACTCAGCTCTCACTTTTTCTTTAAAAAAAAAAGTTTCTAGCCGTCATGGGTGCAGCGAAAATGTGACCCAAAAGCCAGGAGGCAAAAACAAAACAAACAAACAAAAACAGCTAAATTTTTATTTTTTATTATAAAATCTCACAGTTTTTAAGCCATTCCCATGAGTTCTGAATACTTAACATGCCAATACTTGGTCTGCACATGGTGACTGAAATGCTTGCCAATGCCAAGGACCTAGCACAGGGCCTTTTGAACCATTTAAGCCCTCAAGCCTCTGGGGCTGAAGTGGTGCACAGAGTCTTGTGTGCGGCCTCTTCATTGGAACACATTTCACTCCCAGACCAGCGAATGTAAAGAACTGCCATGCAGAGAGAATTCTGCTGTAAGCCTTTAGAACTCTGGGCAGAAACAGAGATTTCTGCGAAGCAACAATGTGATAGTTAAATTAAGGGCCTGGTCAAAAGCCTACTGATTTCAATGGGGCTCTTTCCATTGACTTCAGCTAGCTTTGGACCAAGACCTTGATGCAGCAGGTCTCTCTTTATTCCCTCATTTTTTATTTAGAATTTTTCTCTCAGAATAGCAAATAGACAAGCACCTACAGCAGTGGTTCACAACCCACGGGCCATTTGTAGCCCAATCAGCACACAGCTGCAGCCCATGTGAAGCCTTCGGGCCATACAGGTAATATATATAGTGTGTGGATGCGGCCCACATAACAGAGAGGGCAGCATATGTGGCCCACAGTGGCAAATAGGTTGAGATCCACTGATCTAGATACCTTTCCTGCCGACTTCTTTGAAAGATTCAAAACTCAGCTCCCCCTGGTGGTAGGAATCCTGTTTCTCTGAGTGCTCCAAATTGCATGGAATACCTGCTGCCTATGAAGAGCCTCCTGGTCTTTCATAGTTTGGTATTGCACCAATATTCTGTCATCATCCTGCTCTTTCCTCCGCCTCTCTTCGCTGAAGTACGCTGGGATGTTCCTCTGAGCACGCTGCATACACAGGTAGCACATTTCCTGGAGTCCCCATAGAAATATAAAAGAATGCACATTACCGTCATCTCTTTTATTTTTTCACCCTCTATTTACCCTTCTCCTGCAATGAACTTCCACAAGTCTTCAAGAAAATCCAACCTTCTTACAAATGGTGTTTTAATTAAAAATACTAGAGGGAAATTATTTCCTCCTTACTAAGGACAACTAGATCGGGGTGGCCAACCTGTGGCTCCGGAGCCACATGCGGTTCTTCAGAAGTTAATATGCAGCCCCTTGTATAGGCAAAGACTCCGGGGCTGGAGCTACAGGTGCCAAATTTCCAGTGTGCCGGGGGTGCTCACTGCTCAACCCCTGGCTCTGCCACAGGCTCTGCCCCCACTCCACCTCTTCCTGCCCCCTCCCCTGAGCCTGCTATGCCCTCGCTCCTCCCACTCCCGCTCCGAGCCTCCTGCACACCATGAAACAGCTGATTGGGAGGTGTGGGGAGGGATGGGGAGGCGCTCATCGGCACGGCTGCCGGTGGGCGGGAGGCGCTGGGAACGGGTGGAGATGGGGAGCTCATGGGGGGCTGCTGACGTATTACTGTGGCTCTTTGGCAATGTACATTGGTAAATTCTGGCTCCTTCTCAGGCTTAGGTTGGCCACCCCTGAGCTAGATGCACAATTCCTGTGCAGTGGCAAAAAACTTATTTTGAAACTCAGTTTGCTCCTAAATCTGATGGAACATCTGAAAATCCCATCCCTGATAACTATTAGCACTCCTAGATCTGGAACAGTCTGCCCGTGCAAAAGATTACATGGGACCAACGGCAGGAGATATACATGAAATTGACAAAAAAAAACCCAACCTACAAGCCTCTCTGGCAGAGCTTGGCAATGGCTACACTTGCAGCAACATGCAGGGTACGTGTAGCTACACACCGCAGTGAAAGGCTCTGGCAGTGGGAAAAGGCTCCAGCAGCTCCCCAGTGGTGGAGCCTTTTCTCGCGGGCTCCCTCTGCCAGAGCCTTTCCCTGCTGCTGGCATCTTTCACTGCAGTGGAGAAAGGCTCCAGCAGTGGGAAGACAGTGGGACACTACACTGCTAAAAATAGAGACATGGGAGGTATAGCTTGGGTGTGTAGAGAGCCACGTAAGGTACAGACCCTAGCATTCCGGCATGTCTTTACTCGCCTAAGCCTTACCCACCCCGCTCTCCACCACTGTTTATACCTGTGCTAGCTGAGTGCGCTGTGTCTGGGCTCTATTCACTGCCCCAAGTGTCGACCTACCCTTATCAGCTATGTCGTTTTAGACTTTATAATTTCCAACCCAGAACATGCAGTAGAATCTTTCTAGATCAGCTTGGCAATCAAACATGAACACAACAAAATCACAGAAGAGCCTGGTTTTGCGTATAGTCAGACATGCACAAACTGCAACATTTATATATATTAGTGAGCAGGGTTCTACAGCGCACATTGCAGGTGAGAGTAACAGAAAATTTTCCCAGCTGTTAGTATATGTGTTGTCTGTGTTCGGCTGGCTGGTTAGTTAAATATAGGACAAATTAGCTAGTGGCCAAGATTTAAAAAAAAAAATAGCCTAAAGTTAAGCTCCTAAATCCATATTTAGTCTCCTAAATCAGTGGCCTGATTTCAAAACTGCTGAGCAGCCACCAGCTCCTATCGATCTCAAGAATTAATATACCAGCATTACGAGGACATAAGCCCCAATCAGAAGTGCTGCATGCTCCGAACTTTTGACAATTTTTATAGATCCTAAATATGGATTCAGGAGCCTAATTTTATGCTCCTTTTTTTTTTTTTTTTTTTTTTTTTTTTGAAGATCTGACCTAATCAGTGTTGCCAGCTCTCGTGGTTTGAACATAGGAACAGTCACAGTGGATCAGACCCAAGGACCATCTAATCCTGTATTCTGTCTCTGATAGTGGCCAGCACCAGAGTTATAGATTCTAAGGCCACAAGAGACCACTGTGGTCATCAAGTCTGACCTTCTGCATAACACAGGCCAGCTATAGGACATCCCCAAAATAATTCCTGTCTGAACTACAGCAGATCTTGTAGATAAACAACCAGTCCTGATTTTAAAATTGCCAGTGATGGAGAATCCATGACAACCCCTGATAAATTATTCCAATGGTTAATTACCCTCACTGTTAAAAGACACTTCAGAGGAAGATGCAAGAGCCCCTAAATAGGCAGATGTGGGATAATCTGCCCCACACACAGGTCTCATCCAGGTCTCTCATAGTTAGAGGTTGGCTCAAACCCTAAATCACGGATTTTAATATCCCTCCCAAAATGTTTGTAGTCATTAATTATGACAACACTGGATACTCTTGATATCCACATAAATATCTAATCCCTTTTTGAATCAAAGTGCAGTGTCCCCACATTGCTTTAGTAGCTCCCAGAAAACTTCAAGGTGTAAAAATAATTGACAAAATATGCAACCTTCGCACTTGTTTTGGCAAAACACTTGTGCACAATAGGGAAACTATTTATTTTCTACCTCCCATAACTGCTAATGAATGAAGAGCCTTATGGTTAACATTTCCATAATAACCAGGTCTCAAATGTATTCCTATATGTTTCTTCAAAATAGAGTGCTGACCAGGATTTACTCATACTTGCATAATGAACTGCCTGTTTTTTTAAGTAAGATCCCATATGGCCTATAAAAACAGCCATTGACTGTTATAATGAACAGCCACTAGGGACAGTTTTAAAATTGACCCCCCCCAGGTAACCACGTTTTGCTGCGATTAAAAAGTGACATAATAAGTAAATAAGATCCATATATTGTACCTGTCCAGCCCTACCATGATCTTGACAAAGAGGGGATGGAGTTCTGGGTCCGGTAGCATGAATTAGGTTGGGACCGCAGTCCGTTTCAGTCTTTGAGAAACACGGAGAAGCAGGTGATGTTGCGCTAGGAACAGACAACAGGACATGTGCATCAGTTTATTACAAAGGCTGTGTACAGACACCAACACACTGGGCATAAGGCAGTTTTGCAATGGAGTTTGGAACATCACTGAGAAACTAAACACATGTTCATGAACGCACACCAGAGGATAGTGTCCACACACAAAGAGGTGGCTTAAGATGAAGCTGGGCCCAAATTCTCTAAATTGCTACATCCTCCAGTAAAAAGAACAAACAGAAAACCTCACTGGTGCTCCCAAACAGCCAGTCACAAGCCACAGGGCTCCCAACTGCTGCCATCTTTTCTTCCCTTTGGTCTTGTCATCCCAGGCACTGGAGAGCTGCCCCCTGTCTGGTTCCTGCTGCAGCAGGAACATCCAGCAGTGCTCAGGTGTGTGCTACTCCTCTTGTTGCTCACAGCTGCTATGCTGGCTCCTGCACTCCCTCAGCTCCGTGGCCTGGACCTTGCCTTAATAGGCCTCTGAACTCATGGGCTTATACGGGGAGCCTTTGCATTGGCTTCAAAACCAGAAGATCAGGACCACAGCTTCAAACTGAGCTTAACAATAGACTGTCCCAGGGTATGGTTATACTGGAGTAGGAGGTGTAATTCCCAGCTCAGTCGACATACCTGCGCTAGCTCTGACCGAGGTAGCATGCTAAAATAGTAAGGTAGCTGCAGCAGCACAAGCCACAGGACCAGCTACCCCCCTGAGTAGGGTTTCAGACAGGATCATACTGAGGCAATTAGCTTTCTCCTGCCACATGCACCTCCACAGCCACACTTCTATTTTTAGCATGCTACCTAGATCGGAGCTAGCGTAGGTATGTCTACCTGAGCTGGACATAAACCTCTAGCGCCAGTGTGGTCATACCCTGTGTCACAGCCAGTAACTAATTTGCCATCAGTGTGCACATATGATGCTTTGTCATGCACACTGTCACAGCCTGGCCCAGAAGCAATTCTAGGAGTCCATCCACTATCTCTTGTAGAAACACAGTAAAACTTCAGTGAGCCAATGTCCCCAGGAAGGAACACCTAAAGACAGGGCTAAACAAGTTTTCAGTAAACTAAATTACCCCCTGGAGAAACAGGAAAGCAGGACCCAGAACGCTGCAGGAATTCACTTGCATTTATAGTTGCTGAATAAAAAATGTGCTACCGATCGGTTAGGGTCCAATCCATCGTCTGCTGAGGATAGTCCCATGCCTAATGGTCCAATGGCCCAGTTCCCAGCTCTGACGCAGACGCCCTGTGTGACTGTAAAACAGGGATAACAGCACGTGCCCCCCTCACAGGTGCACAGCGAGGATAAATTGAATAGCGTCTGTGAGGTGCTCAGCTGCTGTGGCGATAGCGGCCAGAGAGGCAGAGAGATGGTTCAGATGCAAAGCAGCGATGTATATCTTTAAATGACCAATAAATAAGGCAGGGGATGGAAACATGCATTCAGTTTTCTCCTATTTCATTGACTGTATTCAAATGAACAGAGAGGGGGAGACGATGATCCTGAACAACAACACTCTCATCTTGTCTGAACTTCCCTAAAGCTCAAGGTGTCCCAGATCCAGGCCCCTCTCGCTATTTAACTAACAGTGTCATCTAAATGTCAGGCACCTGGGGACACAGTTATACTGGGCATTGTACATACACTATGCTAATGGGGGCCATATTAGTACCTAAAATCAATATAGATAGATTGCTAGTGGCGAACGCTGTAAACAAAGAGAAAGCAATTTGGTAAGAGAAGCAATTCTATCTACCTATCAATCTCTGGCCGTTCTATTGTGCCCATCACAGTAATAAGCTTTAGTACAAAAGAAAAAGCCTCTAGGTTAACTGATTAAACCCCAGACAAACAATGGAGATGGGCACTGTTCTATCCCCTTGGTGCATGAGAAGTTTGAATTTCACTTTGCCCTGTAAAGCAGTATCTGTCAAATTAAAACAAAGAGCTCCTACATGTTTAATCATGGCTGAATTGGGTCTCAGTGACCTCCCGGAACAACTGATAGTGTCAAACAAAGCTCAGACAAGCAGTGAAAACATTTAGAAGCCATTAGAAGAGCACTCTGAGTCTCTCTTCCATTAAATGTTTATAAACTCTGCAGACTGTTCTCATCAAGTAGGAGGATCAGGTTCACTCATCTCCACTGTGAATGGTAAGAGGATCCTGAACCTCTTGAATAATTGTTTGCATTTAGTTACCAAACTATCAGATACAAAATGGAGATGGCGTCAGACGAAAACGAAGTAGACACCAGACACTCACAGATACTCACTGTACTATATACCTCCCAGACAGCAAGAAAATGTGAGATGAGCCAATGGCACTGTGAGATGAGCCAATAGCACACCCTTAACATAGATTTGGGGTTTTTTAAAGGGCTGTTGCATGATAAAAGCTTCAGTTAATGGGAATTTTTAACCTTTAGTTTACTTAGGTAATTAACTTTTATCTCAAGAAAATAAACTGGTACACTGATACACTGATCGAGGGATAAGCTGGAACTTGGTGTCCCAGGGACATTACACAGAAAATGCACATTTATACTATTCATCCCCAAATAGCTTAGATTTTGACATGTTTGTACAATAATTCTAATAAACACAAATTAAATCTACTTACTTATCCGACTTCAGAGGATTACTGCTAATGGACACAAAGATACAAAATATTGGCCACATTCTAAAGCCTTTACTCGAGAGCCTGAATCTGCCGCATCAAGCAGATTCGGGTAACAATTTTAAAAGCACCTAAGTGACTTGGGAGCCTATTTGCCACTTTTCAAAAGTGACTCCAGGACTTAGGAGCCTACATCTCATTGAAAGCCAATGGAACTTAGGTTCCTAAGGGTGGGATTCCCATGGGGGACTTAGATGCCTAACGGCCACTTTAGGCATTTAAGTCCAAAATGTAGGTCCTCAAAACCCACTCAGCTGCTGGCTAACCCTGTAGGTTCCTAAGGTCCCTAAGCACCTAGGTTTCCATTGGTAAGTCCACTAGGTGCCTAAATTTCTGTCAGTGCACAGCCAGTGTCCTGACACCACCAAGCAGCTCAGCACTTGACACGTTTATAAATCCCAATGGGATTCACAAACTAGGCATTCCCCTGCCTGTCTCACCTGCAGGGCCTGATCCAGTAGACATGCTCAGAGGCCACTTTAGAGCATGTCTTCCGATCAGGCCCCGCACAAAACACAGCCTCTGGAGGAGCAGGAAAAGGTAGTGGTGGAAGACTTAGGCGCCTAACTTGTTTGGTGCTTTTGAAAATCCCACTAGGCGCTTATCTGCATCTTTAGGTGCCTAAATATCTTTAAAAATCTGCCCCAGGTCATGTTTGAAAATGGGATTTAGGCACTTTTGAAAATTTTACCCCCTTTCCTCATTAGTTTAATTAATAATTTTCTTTTTTTCTTTTCACAATTAATACAGACTTTGTAGCTGCAGTTCAGTGCAAGATCAAAATACTGAAAAGCTTATAGTTACCCTTATCCACGTCTCCCAGGGAGTCTCACCTTTCAGGGGCATTCTTTTGCTTGATGTTCTTCTCCAGCTCATCAGTCAGATTGAACCCTGATACTTTGGCAGGAACAATAGATTGTCGGGACAGAAGGCGCTTAATGGGAAGATTCTCTGTAAGTGTGAAACAAGGAAAATCCCAAGAACAGCATCTCTGTGACAACTTAGATGAGAATAGCAGGGGAGCTCACATAAGACACACACTGTAGATGTGCTGCAGCATTTCCATGTTTTAAAAATACCTTAGGAACAGATTCTGATAGTCTTAGAAGTCACTTACTCGGTGAGTACTCCCATTGATTCCAATGCCGTAAAAGCATTCTTTTACCACTGAACTACATTATGGAGGAGTTTCAGTCACCTACAGGTGTTATAGAGGAGTTTCAGTCACCTACAGGTTTTAATACCTGTCTGACACATAATATCATGGGTGTTTCCCAGCTATTAATTTCTATAGTGCAGCATCATTCCCCACACTCTGCACTATACTGTGTTCTAACAAATGGGGCTACCAGTGCTTTTGGGAGACTGTTGCACAGCCTAATAGATCTCAGTGTCAGGAATATTTTCCATGAGAGTGGGACAGATGCTCAGATGGTATAAAATGATGTAGCTTCAGCATCTGGCTCAGTGAGTCTAAGTTTTCCTTTGCTTCGTCTCATCCCATAACCCCTGGTTATAGCCCCAAAACAATAAATAACTGAAGATGGTTATCTCAGCCCTGCTTAATTTGGCAACGCTATACAGCAACTGACTGATTTTCAGCTGAATTCAAAGAGAGCGGCAGATGCACAGAGCCTCCAAAGCACGCCAGCCACTTTCAGTCAATGTCTCGAGGCTAAAGCATTTTTAGCTGTTTTTCTCTGAATAACTTCTGATTTATTTGTCTCTTCCTAACTTTGACCAACTAGTCTCAGACTCCATTCCCTGTCCATTGATAAAGCACAATGCAGAATGTGGCTTGTTGGCTGAGACTCACGACTTATCTATACAGGAAAGTTACAGCAATATAAGTTAAGGTGTGAATGTAAACCAATATACTTATACCGGTGTAACTCCTCATGTGGAATGACATACCAAAATAAAAGTGTCCACACAGGGAGTTATACTCGTTTATTTTTACCAATATACTGATAAAACTTTCCTGTGGAGATAAACCCTAAGCATGGGAATTTACAGCCCTAAAGGATTATTTTTGTGACGTTTATGAGGAACTTGAAAGTGAGGGTTAGAATGAAAATTGCTTCCCAGCTTTAAAGATAGAATTCAGTATTGGCATAGGCTGGCAGCCTTCAAATGATCATCACAGGAGGATGCTTTCTCTCCAAATAAAAGCCAGCTGTGATTTTGTACGAGACACACACCATATTGGAATGCTAATAGATTTTCTGAACTTTCAATGCTTTTTGCCTAGCCAAACTCATAAAACTGCAGAAAGCCTTTTGCAATACAGTGTAGGTATTAGAGTTGAGTGGAAATATCTTCTTGATTGGAAGGGTTGGACCCTTTTGTGATTCCGTTCCATGATGGCTAGCGTGACTGATCATTGCCATGATGGATGCTTACACCTGTTAAATGTGTGCCAGACCATGTGCAAACTGCACATTTTAAACCTGGCCCCTATTGTCTGACAAGTGAATGACAATGAACCTGTATCAATATTCAGTTGACAACCTACCTTTTTTACTGCTACTGTTACTATGAGTTCTCTCTTTTTCTATTGGCTCCTTTTCTTTGTTGGACTTTTCACGTTCTTCTGTGATGGTTTCCATGGCTGCTTTGTTGTCTGTTTCCTTCAACTCAATCCTGGAAACAAGGAAAAGATATCAGTTTGTTTTGTAGAACATATGCCAGAATAGAAGGCACAATGTTGTATTAGTAACCTGGTCACACAAGCATCTTTAGCACTACTGTAAAGATTGCACTTTTCAAAAGCAGAATACAGAGCAGCCTTAAGGATTATGCATAAAAATGATTTACATAAAAATGGACAGTAGCAAAAATTATTCTTTATGGCAATCTATATGTCACGAAGTAAGGCAGAAAGTATTCAGTTTAACTATTCTCAGTCATTTACATTTCTATAACTCCTTTTATACCGAAGGACACCAAAGCTCTATGTTTAGGGCCCTACCAAATTCAAGGCTGTGAAAAACGCATCCCAGATTGTGAAATCTGGTCTTCCCCCATGAAGTCTGGTCTTTTGTGTACTTTTACCCTATATTATACAGATTTTATGGGGAAGACCAGCGTTTCTCAAACTGGGGTCCTGACCATAGGCGCCAACTTCTGCTGGCGCTGGTGAGTGCTGGACCCCCCTCTGCCCCTGGCCCTGTCCCAGCTCCACCCTGTCCTGCACCCTCCCCACCCCTGCCCTGCCCCCATTCCAACCCCATCCCCAAAGTTCCTGCCAAAATTCCACCCCCTCCCTGCCCCTATTGGACTCCTTTTCCAAATCCCTGCCCCAGCCTCGCCTCTTCCCCACCGCCTCCCCTGAGCGCGCTGTGTTCCCGCTCCTCCCCGCTCCCTCCCGGAGCTTGTTACACCACAAAACAGCTGTTTCACAGCTGCAAGCACTGGGAGGTAGGCGGAAGAGCAGGGACACGGCATGCTCAGGAGAGGAGGCAGAGGCAGAGATGAAGTGAGACGGGGGGATGGGGAGGGGAGCTTGGCTGATGGGGGTGCAGAGCTCCCATTAATTTTTTTCTGTGGGTGCTCTAGCCCCGGAACACCCACGGAGTTGGCATCTATGGTCCCGACTCAACAGGTGGTTGGGGGCGGGGGGCGTTATGGTACTTCCGCGCTGCCTTCAGAGCTGGGTGGCCGGAGAGCAGCGGCTGCTGGCCAGGCACCCAGCCCTGAAGGCAGCACCCCCTGCAGCAGCAGCATAGAAATAAAGGTGGCAATACCATACCATGCCACCCCTACTTCTGTGCTGCTGCCTTCAGAGCAGGGCAGCTAGTGAGTGGTGGCTGCTGGCCGAGGTTCCAGCTCTGCAGACAGCAGCGCAGAAGTAAGGGAGGCAATCCCATGCCAGGCCATCCTTCCTTCTGCGCTGCTGCTGGCGGCGACTCTGCCTTCAGAGCTGGGCTCCCAGCCAGCAGCTGCTGCTCTCCAGCTGCCCAGCACTGAAGGCAACGCTGCTGCCAGCGCAGAAGTACGGGTGGCAGTACCGCAGTCCCCCCTACAATAACTTTGTTATCCTCCTCCACCTCTCCACAACCCCTTTTGGGGTCAGGACCCTTAAAGTTACAACACCTTGAAATTTCAGATTTAAATATCTGAAATCATGAAAATTAAATTTTTTTAAAATCCTATGATTGTGAAATTGACCAAAATGGACTGTGAATTTGGTTAGGCCCTATCTATGTTGAAGGCTTTATCAGCATGACTGTGTGTGATTCATTTCATCCCAAGCCACACCAATAAACCCTTTAGATCATACCACATCAATACACCATGTATTCTGTGTATGCTACACATTTGACAGAGATGTCACTATTGGAGATGCTTCAGAAAGCTGCAAATATTTCACTCGTGCTGTGTTTTACGTTCCCCTTCATTTAGGGCCAGGCTCCCATGATAGGTGCCCACTTTTCCCAGCGCCGGTGGGTGCTCGCCCCCTGTCCCCCCACTCCCACCCCTGCCCCACCTCCATTCCAATCCCTTCCCCAAAGCCCCAACTCTGCCCCCTCACTGCCCCTATTGGACCCCTTCCCCAAATCCCCACCTTGGCCCCGTCTCTTCCCAGAGCGCACTGCATTCCCGCTCCCTCCCAGCACTTGCTGCCGCAAAACAACTGTTTCGCGGCGGCAAGCGCTGGGAGCTAGGGGGAGAAGCGGAGCCGCGGCGTGCTCAGGGGAGGACGTGGAGCAGAGGCGAAGGTGAGCTCAGGCAGGGGGTGGGGCGGGGAGCTGCTGGTGGGTGCAGAGCACCCACCAATTTTCCTCATGGGTGCTCCAGCCCCGGAGCACCCATGGAGTCAGCGCCTATGGCTCCTATAGGATCCCAGCCTGCAAGGTGCAAGAGCTCTGTTAAGTGCTGAGCATCTTCAGGTGTGCGGAAACTGAGCTGAGCAACTTGGAAGTGGGTACTCAGCCCCTCTCAGGATCAGCCCCTCAGTTACCTAAAGTCCACCCAAATGGGATTCGGAGGGAGAGGAAAAAATAAAATTAATATATTTTAGAAATTCAAAAAATTACCTTAAATATCATGACAGTGCTGTAATTTTACAGTTCAACATATCACGAGGTACTAGGACTAGAAACAAATAATTGATACTATTGGAAAGTCCTTGAAAAGTTCACTTTTCTAATGGTGAAAGTCTACTCCTGATGATTCACAAAGTGTCATATTTTAAACCCATCACTGTTACATGAATGGATAGTTCCTGTTCTGAACCAGTGCTATGGGGGCAGAAAGGGGGAGACAGGGTGGAACTCCTCCTCTGGGGGAAAGGAGGAAATGATTCCCTGGGAGGTTGTGTACCTCAGTTAGGTTATGAAGGAAAGGGAATTATTGAAGAGGGAAGCAAGATATCCTTTTGTCTTTTTGACTTGTCACTTTTTCCCGTGGATCTTCTACCCAGGAAGACTGGTGGTAGGGATTCATTCAATTGAATGCCACAAATACCAGTAACATACATGACCATATGCTTTTGTAAGTCTAAGGCCAGATCCATAATTTAATGGAAGCTGTTCACGTAAAAATCAGGCAACATACATATTTAAACTCCTTTTGAAATCTTATACAAAAGAAAGAGATGAGGCAGGTGAAACATTATGAAAAACATTATCTAACCTTGTCTATACTTGGAAGTTAATTCAGATTATGGTAAAGTGTGAAGTTAAAGTGCAACAACTATTCCTAAATAACTCCATGAGTGGACTCTCTTATCCTGGGATAAAAGTGTCTTGTTCCAATTTAGCTTAATACTTTTTTAAAGAAAAAGAGTGCCCCCACATAGAGTTATCCTGGAATAGCTACCCTGAATAGGTATTCTGGAGTAATAATTCTATGTGTAGACAAGCCCTAACACAATAGATTCAGGGCTGTCAAATGTAAGATAGGAGATGCTAGCTTGGTCAGTGAACTGGTAAAGAAGTGGAAGTACTCACCTTGGAAACATGACAACACTGCAACCACGGGACTGAGACATAGCAGTTTCTCTGCCTGAAATGACTGAATCGCCTGTCCCAGGCCTCTACAATGACAGACATTTGAGATAACTCAGAGGACATTGTCTAGCAGGTAACAAATAAGGGAACCCTTTCTAATTCTAAAACAACAGGCTGCTGCTCCAAAATCCTGTCACAAAATTATATTTCATTCACATTTGTCCTTCACTGTAACTGATGGAATCTGTCCCAGCCAATCACTGATAATAGATGATAATATTGTCATGATTTCTGAGTGGTCAGGAATCATTAGACTCAATAAAGAGGATATTTACTTTCCAGTAGAGAAGCAAGTGGAGATAGGTACATGGTTAACACATGTTACTAGTGTGGTTTTAAAGCACTGCTTGGCTGGTTGTTTGTACGGTTCCTGCAGATTATGGACTTGAACAGACATCAGTTAGTCCAGTTAAGGTTTCATTCACAAAGCTGCAGCAAGTCTTTCCCACAGCTAAAATGTCTGTCCTCAAACCAAGGAGGGACACAAACTCAGGCCTTCTTTTTCTTTCCCCGGGGTACTATTATTCATTATTATTTGTACAACAGTAGCACCCTGAGGTGCCGATCGGGGCCCTGTTGTGCTAACGGTTGAACAAACATGTAGTCAAGAGATGGTCCTTGTCCCAGAAAGCATTATGACAGGATGCAATATGTAGGATTGGGAGAGAAACACTGGATGGGACTCAGGAGATCAGGGTTCTGTTCCAGACTCTGCCGCAATCTTCTTGTGTGCCCTTGGGTAAGTCACTTAGGGCATGTCTACACTACAATCCGAGGTGTGATTGCAGCACATGTAGACATACCCAAACTAGCTTTAATCTAGCAAGCTCAGGTCCCAATAGCAGTGAAGTCATGGCTGCACAGGCTAGCCACCTGAGTACATACTCAGACTCCCTTGCAGGCTCATTCCATGCCGCCATGGCTTCACTGCTATTGGTACCTGAGCTAGCTAGAAAAAAGTTAGCTCGAGTATGTCTACATGTGCTGCAATTGCACCTCCGATTACAGTGTAGACATACCCTGAGCTTGTATGTGCCTCAGTTCCCCATCTTTAAAATAAGGATAACAACATTATAACAACGTTGAGCTGTCCTGTCTGTTGAGATTGTGAGCACTGCTGATCAGGGACTGTCTCTTACTATGTGTATCCACAGCACCAAGCACAGCAGGGCTCTGAACTTAGTGGAGGCCTCTAAGCACTACTAGAAAACAAAGAATAAATAAATTATGATAATATGGGAGGACAAGGTAAGAATAATACAGTACAAGACTAGCTGTATGCACAGTGTGACCCACCACCTGCCTAATAGACATTATTGACTGATACTGACTCAAAATAATTTAAGTTCTCCTGGGAAAATGATAAACTTACATTGGAAAGAGCTTTCACCAGATTGCCACTGCCATCCATGGCTTGAAGGAAATCTTTGTAAAATTTCATTTTCACTTTGTTGTCCCGGATAACGAGAACTCCGATTCCCTTGAAAGCGAATTCAACATTCTGTTTGATAGCGATGGATCGTGAGAAAAAAAGCAGGGTCTCTTTTACACATCCTTCCACTATCTCCCTGTTAAAGGGACCCTCCAGGGATAACATGATGAAGTTCAGTTGAATAATTGGGATATCACCTGAAATCAACAATCAGGGGAACCCACTAATTCAAACAGCAAGCAGACTTCCTAAATAACAGCAGCAACAAGGCTGTGAATTAATGAATCACATTTTGCACTTACGTAGCACCTTCCTGTAAAAGGCTCAAAGCACTTTACAACCATGAATAAAGCCTCACAAAACCTTTATTAGCTCATTATCATATCTATTTTACTGACCTTCTTACAACTCCATATAGCTTGTTATTCTGAAGGATCCCAAGCTCTTTAAAAGCAAACTGCTATGCCAGCTATACAGGGATGACTTCCTCAATATGAAAATACAAAAATGAAACATGGCAGCTATACAGCACAGGATTGCAGGGCAGGAAGTGAAGAATACTGTATGCAGTTGAAATTGCAGGGGGATGGAACATGAAACTAGAGAAGGAATTTAACCAGGACACCTATTCTTAAATACAGTGATCTTAACCACAAGAGATCAGAACTTTCATTTTGCAACGCATCTTAGAGATATGGGGACTGATTCTGCACTCCATTAACCCCTTTGCTGTACACCAATGTAACTATTAACTCCACATAACTATTGAAATCCGCATAAGCCCAACATAATGCAGAGGAGAATCAGGCCTGGTCTACATTCAGTTTTTGTTCCAAATTAACTATTCCAGTTAAGAGTGCAATTTTCTTTAAAACAGATATAGTTAAATCGTACAACCCCGAGTGTGTACACTATTTATGCAGGTATAAAGGTGCCTTATATCTGCATAGCTTATGATGGGAATAAGCATTACCTGTGTAAGCACAGCTTATTCCCATATAAGGCAACTTGACAACAGTGTAACTGCATCCATTTGTATCGATTTAATTATACCAGTTTCAAACCAATATAGTTAAAATAGTACAAAGACTGTGCTGGCCAGTTCTTAGATCTGTTACCTTTGACAATACAGTTCCCTAACAATTTGCCAGCTCATTTCTCTGCCTTCAGTACCAGTGCTCTGTCACCAGGAGGCACCAGACTGAGACTCAAACTCAAAAGAGTTTTTTTTTTAAAGCAGCCCCATGATGCTGCACAAGAGGCATAATCAATACCATTGCTCCCCACTTTGTGCAAACATGATGGTATTGATGTGAAACTCCTTTTGTTCAGAATACATACAACTGTACGCGTGCTTCATAAAACCTATTGTTTGTTCGGGTCTATTTTAAGCTGTCTCCAGCTGATTACTCTATTAAGGTATGTGCCACTAAAATAAAATAAAAAACCGGTTGCAGGCCACTTTAGACTTGGAGTTGTGCATGTGTAAAACCTGGCACAAAGCTTTGAATTTGCAAAGCTGAAGTATTGTGCAAGATGCATATGGAATTTCAGTGGTAATAAAGTTTTACTAGAATATATTGCAGCTACCATAAAAGCTCCACAGATGTGGCATTATGCAGTCAGAAGGTAAAAGAACATTTCAAACAGCAACATACTAACCTTACACAGGATATAAATATAAAAGCAACAGTGTCTTGTAAAGAAATTCCCTCTTGGTGTCTTATCGACAGAGCCTACATTGTTATCGGTGAAGGAATTCTATACATGTATCACATTTGGTTGCTTAGCTATTAATCTTGTCAGATATTTTATAGCACAGGACAAATATGTTTCAAAGAAAGGCAAATGCCATAATCAAACTTCTTACCAGGAGTGTGTATTTTGGCAAGTTTGAGTCCATGAATCTGAGCTAGTTTCTCAGACAGAAGAAACACAGGTCTTTGAATAAGGATAAATTTATTGTTGCCGACATCTAATTTTTGTCTTAAAAAGGAGAATGTTCCAAGCCCTGGTATTTGGACACCCTGAAAAATAAGCAATAATAAATATTATTAATAAATAATAAAAATAAGCAATGATAAATATTCAGGAAGGAGGGGAAACATTTTTGCTTCTATATAATCACAATCAATTCATAATTTGTTATTCTATGCCAGAGCATTTTGATGGTGGTGATTGACATCCGGTCCACACCTTATGTTTTCCAGTGCAGGGATGCGGGATGGGGCAATTCTCAGAGCTCCTGAAAGCACCAAATATTTCCTATTTTTCTCCTCTCCCTCCCTTTTGCTATTTGAAAAAAAACATTGATATAGTAACTGCAAAATAAATAACCCTAATCTAGAGAAGCCCCAAAGAGCTCGACTCTGCAAATCCTCACCCCACTGAGTAAACCTCCTACCCACCCAAGTAGCAGCATAGGCTATAGTTGGACTACATTCCCCTGAGTAAGGACTACCCCTACAATCAAGGATTGGCTGGAGCAGGTTCTAGGTGCTTAACCTAGCAATCTAAATACCTTACGAAACTTATATTTCTTTGTTAGATACAATGAATTGAAATAGCCAAAGATGTGTGTTAGGGCACTGCTAGATTTTTCTGGAATCCCCAGAGCAACCTGTTGGCTTGGTACCAATCTTAACATATTTGCCATCTTGTGAAAGGCTAATTTTTAAAATAAGAGGGTTATTTCTCCTTTAAAAACAAAAGAAATGAGCACAACGGGGTTTTTAAAATCTGTTCTTAGCATGGAAAACAGGCCTAAAGGGGTATCATACTAAAATTCCCACCTCAATAAAAAGTGTTAAGCTTCCTTACATATAGATCTACGTGGTTGGTTTTTTTTTTAAAATCTAACTTTACTATGCTACACTGTGCTGAATAACTCAGTAAACTAGAAAAGGAGTACCTTTTCTTTTTGCGAATACAGACTAACACGGCTGTTCCTCTGAAACCTGTCAGTAAACTAGGTAAGAGAAGCTTGTGGCACATTTGTAGACTACAATGTACCTTTGGTTTGGTTTGCCTGTGCATGCCTCTTGCTTTAAGAGGAGGCGTGCATAACAGGTTTTAGTGGCATGGGCGTGCATCAGAATCTTTGGAAACATTTGGGTTCAAGAGGAGGAATAAGATGTGAGGCCCACCTTGTTCATTGACAGATGCCGTTCCACAAATTCAGACACATTGGCCCAAATACTAAAGACTTCTGAAATGCAAGTGAAACACAATATGTCATGATCTCTAGTGACAAGCACACAAATTCGCCACACTCCGTGGAAAATAGGACTCTTCTTTTCTGACTAATAAGAATGCAGCATCCCAGTGTAATCACAAGCATCCTGCATAGTTTATACATTCACTATAGAGCAATGGTACTTGCTCCATAGTTAAGTTTTCAACCAAGTTCCTGATTTGGACCTTCTAAAACCCTCAGTAAGAGTCTGGGGTTGAAACAGATTTTTTCTACAAATTCTAAATGATTTGGGCAAGTAGTTCTTGCAGCCTGACACATAACAGTGGACAGATGTTCAGAGTTCAAAAACTAGTTTTCACAAGCTTAGATTTTGAATTTAGAACAGCACTAAGACCTGTCATTTCTGGCAACATCACTACAGCACAGAAAAGCATCATAGGAAGCTTAAAGCTTTCATTAAAAAGCCAAATACCCCTCTTCCTTCCAAAAGCAAACCTTAAACCCAGTCACTAGGGAAACTTGTCAATGGAAGTTCCATGCAAATACTTGTGAGAGGACTGGACTACTGAGAGGCATAAGGGGATCCAACAACCCTCCTGTATTTCACACTCCACGTTACATTTAAGCTGTATTTTATCCTTGGATAGATACACACGCTATACTCTTCTAGAGCACCAAACACTTCAAATAAGATGAGTTAAGCTGAGCAAATCTCCCTCCCATGAGACTAGTATTTCTCCCATTTTACAAATGGGGAAACGGAGGCCCAGACTTTTGGCAAGTGACTTTTGTCCAACAAATGGATGGGCATCCCCAGCATGCACCAGACACACAAAGGGCCTCTGGAGAACACCGTTGTAGGTAGGAGTCTCCCTAATGAAATTCACACGAATCAGGCTCCGGGGGGCGTGAAGGCCTTACCATCCGCCGTGAGCTTCGGGAGCGTTGGGAACACGCTCTTGCCAGACTCGAGGATTGCAGCATGGATATTGTCCAGCATTTTTACATCCTCCACCAAGGTGAAGCAGCAGAAAGCAGAGGGGCTTGCGCTGCTTTTCCTTTTCCAGGAGGCTGTCACCTTCCCGCCTTCCCCACCTCTCAGCTTCTCTCTACTTTAGCACGCTGCCCTCCTCGCCTCTCCCCCATTCCCTGCTCCACTGCCTCCTCCCCCGAGCCCCTGAGGAGGGAGGGAAGGAGAAGGCAAACAAGCCAGCTGCTGGGGGGCCAGGGATTCAAAGGGCTGCTCAGGGGGAGGGGGAGGGAGCTTGCAGGGGGAGGGATGGAGCCGTATCCAGGACGCGAGAGAAGCTCACTTGTTGCTAGAGCTTACGTCATAAGAGAGGCTCTAGGGCCCCGCCCACCCGTGAGTTTCTGCCCGCCGCGCAAGGGGAGGTGTTCCCGGGTGGGTGTGTCGCAGTCCGAGCGTCAGCCAGGCAGGGTAAAGCCCAGCTGCCCACTCTGCCTCCTGCGGGATGAACTTTCAGGCTTTGCTTAGAGTCCGGGAAGGAAGGATTTCTTTTTATTTGCTCTTTCATTAAGACCTACCCATGCGAACGGCCACAGCCCCTGGTTGCTGGAGGGCAAAGTTCCCCCTTTCCCTTGGTGAAGTTAGTTTACTCTCTCTCCATAGCACAATAATAAAAAGACTAAGAGGGTAAATCCAACATGACTCCTCTTTAAAATGCATCTAACCAATGCACAAAAGCGCAACAGTTTCTAACGTCTGAAACAGTTCGATACAAAATACTACTATTTAAAATATTGGCCTATGCTATATATTGTAAAACGAAAAGGAGCACTTGTGGCACCTTAGAGACTAACAAATTCATTTGAGCATAAGCTTTCGTGAGCTACAGCTCACTTCATCAGATGGCTTATGCTCAGATAAATTGGTTAGTCTCTAAGGTGCCACTAGTCCTCCTTTTCTTTTTGCGAATACAGACTAACAGGGCTGCTACTCTGAAAACTGTAATGAGAGTGATCGCTTAAGGTGAGCTATTACCAGCAGTGGGAGGGGGAACCTTTTGTAGTGATAATCAAGGTGGGCCATTTCCAGCAGTTGACAAGAATGTCTGAGGAACAGTGGGGGGGAGGAGGGGGAATAAACATGGGGAAATAGTTTTATTTTGTTCACATCAGCCACACTATCAGAGGCTCGTTCACCTGCACATCTACCAATGTGATATATGCCATCATGTGCCAGCAATGCCCCACTGCCATGTACATTGGTCAAACTGGACAGTCTCTACCTAAAAGAATAAATGGACACAAATCAGACGTCAAGAATTATAACATTCAAAAACCAGTTGGAGAACACTTCAATCTCTTTGGTCACTCGATTACAGACCTAAAAGTGGCAATTCTTCAACAAAAAAACTCATTACACAAAGTAAAACTATTTCCCCATGTTTATTCCCCCCCTCCCGCCCCCACTGTTCCTCAGACGTTCTTGTCAACTGCTGGAAATGGCCCACCTTGATTATCACTACAAAAGGTCCCTCCTCCCCACTGGTAATAGCTCACCTTAAGTGATCACTCTCATTACAGTGTGTATGGTAACACCCATTGTTTCATGTTCTCTATGTATATAAATCTCCCCACTGTATTTTCCACTGAATGCATCCGATGAAGTGAGCTGTAGCTCACGAAAGCTTATGCGCTAATAAATTTGTTAGTCTCTAAGGTGCCACAAGTACTCCTTTTCTTTTTGCGAATACAGAATAACATGGCTACTACTCTGAAACCTGCATTGTGGGAGTGGTTTGGGAATTATTTTTATAGTGATCAAAATTTATTCAGACTGAAAGGCAGCACGCATTAGGGCAGAACTTAGCATCCTATAGTTCACATGATTAGTATTTAAATGTGGAGTGAATACAGATTTTTAGTGGGAGTGAGGATTTAGTGTGTGCACCCGTTTTCTTTTGCATAAATAGAGAGACAGTAGACCCAGTTGCAGCTATATAACATTCCCAGTAAAGTTTTCTCATCATGGAAATTCCTAGAGCCCCAAAATGACACATGTAAATATAGTTTAATGTATAGGATGGTCAGACTAGCCTCTCTTGGGCTATCAATCACAACTAAGTATTTAAAAAGGAAGAGCTTCTTATACTGCCAGAGAGGGGAAAACTAAGCTATCTTTTTCCACAGAAATTGAGCCCTAACCTTTGCTATATACATTGATGCTGGTGGGTTCAATAAGGCCTGAAAGGGGATAGAGAAGGGTTATCCTCCCTGCTCCACCTCTGACTGTGCAACTTCAGGCAAGTCACTTTCTATGTGGTTCTCTCTCCACCTGTCAGTTGTGGAGAGTGGTGCAGACCCTCCTTTGGGACATGCGTGCTGGTCTATGGATTAAATACAAAACCACCCACACCTTGCTTACCATTAAACCAACATGCTACGCTGCTTACACTGTGTTGGCTAGGTAGCATTGTATACGGATGGAATATGGAGACCAAGGCCAGGTCTACAGTAGGAGCACTTTGCCAGTGTAGCTATATCACTATATTATACCAGCAAATCACTCCTAGTAGGTATAATTTATTCCAGCCCCCACGCAAGATAAAAAGTGTAATTTTCTTAGTATAACTCCATCTACCTTATGTAGTTCTGCTGGCACAGCTCTGTCTGGGAAGAGGGTAGATCCCTGCCACTCTTCACTGACAGAGCTATGCCAGGAAAAGTATTGATTGACAGACTGAGCCCCCCTCTGCCGCCTCTTGCACACTAGTCTTTGTACAGGGACTGGACTAAAGCCTCATCTACAGACAGTTTTTGTATCGATTTAGCTATCAGAAATGTGATTTTTCTACCCAAACTGCTATATCAGTATAACCCCTAGCATGGACAGTTATAGTGGTATGAAAGTTGCCTTGGAGTGGTGTAGTTTCCCCTTCCCTTACAGGAATATACCAGTATAATTGCATCCACCTTAAAGGGAGGTGCACTGCTTTTTAACTAGCCTAGTATACATAAAGCAGTACAATGTGTGTGTCTCCAAGCCCTTAGATTGCCACAAGGGAAATGAAGAGTTACAAAGAAAGGGCATTGTCACATGTAATAAGTATATAGGAAAAAAGCACAACTAATGAGGCGGAGGAATAGCTATCCGAAATTTTAGGAATTAAAGGAACATTATCTGCTGAAAAAGCATGTTTCCCACCTCAAACATTAAGAGTTTTAAAACTCAAATGTAGTTCTAAAATTAGTTTCCTTTTCATTTTTAAATGCTCGTAGACTAAGGTCAGAAGGGACTATCATGATCATCTTGTCTGACCTCCTGCACATTGAACACCACAGAATCTCACCCACACACTCCTGTGATAGACCGCTAATCTCACTACCCTTTATGCTGTTTACTTTCTGCATTGCTGTTTCCTTGGACAATGGAAGTAAACTAGTCACTTCCCCCTAGTAGGCTTGAAGCAGTCCCCCAATCTTGCATTTGTAAAACTTTGATTTATTGGGATCTCTCACCCTGCAGTCCCTTTGAGTGAGGAATCTCATTTAGCCAATAAAACCTAGAACTCCTCTTTGATACAGTGCTTTACAACCATAGATTGCAAATCACTTTCCAAAGGCAAATATCTTTTTACAGACAGAGAAACATAGGCAATTAAACAGCTCAGCCATGATTTTCAGAAGTGACTAGTGATCTTTGAATGCCTTGCTTTTTCATACCCAGTAAAGCAGAATGATATTCAGGAGATGCAGAGTAGCTGTCCTCTTAAAAGCATCTCCCAATCTCTAAAGTGTTAAGAATATCACCCAGATGAGGAAGGAAGTACTATTAGCCCCATTTTATAGATAGAGCACAGACAGATTAAGTGACTTTTCCAAGGTCACTACAAAGTCTACAAGAACAGAGTTGAATCAGGTCTTCCAAATCCCAGGCTAATACTCCAACCACTGGACTATCCTCCTTCTCACTGACATTTGAGCCACTGTCTCACTCAGAAAAACAAGACAAAGACTAGACTTTAAACAATCTTAAAAAGTGAACTTTAAAATCCCAAATGGCATTTTTTTGTTTTTAGGCATGAGCAATTTACTGCAAAGTATCTTCTACCCAACATATTATGCAACTCACTGATTTCTAGCCAGTCTCTCCATCTGTAAAATAGGGATAATTCTTCCCTGCCTCACAGCTGCACTAAAAGGACTAGATACTACCATGCTCCAGCAGCACTACTTACTTAAGAGATTAAGGGAAAAGTGAAATATTACCGCAAATAGGTTATGGCCCTGACTTGCTGACCTTCTAAGCCTTGTGGTTTCCATTAAAGTCTGAGATTTATTTGTTTGAGGAATGGCGAAGAAACTAAAAAGTTAAGAGAAATGTGCAGAAATCAGAAGAATGAAGTTTTCAAATCAAACTGGATCACCTGAGACTGAATTCAATCCATAGTTTAAAATGAAAGCAAACTGGTTAACAAAAAATAAGAATTTAGGGGTGAGGAACTAGATAATTTGAGAGCAGTGTATAATGCAGCTATAACACTCCCCTATTTCTGTGTGTATGTATGTATGTATAAAGAAGAGCTGGTTTAGTAAAAGGGAAAGATTCCTCTTTTCAAACACTTTTAGGATCAGAGAATCTTGTTTGTAGCGTATGGAACGGTACTGAGACATTAAGCATGAAACAGATGTTAAAATTCCCTCTAACAAAAGGCTGTGAAAAGGCACTGATTTAGTTCAAATCCCTGAGACTGGGAATACATAAGGGAAGGAAAAATTTACCAGAAACAATAGGAGGTGCCTTTGTTTTTCCTTGGAATAGAATCACAGCAAAGTACAAAGGAGACTAGAATGTCAAACAGATGTTAACTGGTTGTCAGGGCAGCTTCATGTAGAGCAAGGCCAACACAAGACTGTTACTGACTGCATCTGATAAGCTTATTTAATCAAGCCTAAGAGAACCAAGACCCTTTAAACTACTGTTGAAAGATAAGGAGTAGTTGTGGCACCTTAGAGACTAACCAATTTATTTGAGCATGAGCTTTCGTGAGCTACAGCTCACTTCATCAGATGTATACCGTGGAAACTGCAGCAGACTTTATATACACACAGAGAATATGAAACAATACCTCCTCCCACCCCACTGTCCTGCTGGTAATAGCTTATCTAAAGTGATCAACAGGTGGGCCATTTCCAGCACAAATCCAGGTTTTCTCACCCTCCACCCCCACACACACAAATTCACTCTCCTGCTGGTGCTAGCCCATCCAAAGTGACAACTCTTTACATAATCAA